TGAAAACAATCGGCTTGAGAATAATTATATTAGAGCCAAGATTGGACATCTTGATGGTAAGACCTATATGGTTAGCATTAAACATTGCAAATGAACGTTGTCAGCCTAGGGATTATATATTTTCCAATTGTATTTCCTTTATGTATGCATTTATTAATGATACATCGCACTTACTTGTTCCATTACACTTTAATGATTCGCCTTAGCAATTTTACTTTTCTAAAACAGCTTTCAATCCCATATAAACGCTTTACTTACCTCAATATTGGTTGGTTATCGTATGCCTACAACCACGGGATGAGAACGAAACGAAGTCGATTTTCTTGCGCAACCTGGAGGACTACTGTACAGTTCAATGACTATACAGCCTAGTCCAGACAATGAGTGTATTTATATATATATATATATCAAATATTTAACTGTTGAAACATTATTAACTTGTAGACAATCTACGACTTGATATTATATCATAGTTGGTTGTGCCTGTAAAAATGGCATGCATTTTCATGTAAATTTATATGTTCATATGAGAATATACATTATTATTATTATTAATTAGCCGAAGCTACGGCTCCAGGTTTCAGTCAAGTCAGCCTGTGTCGAGTCATGTCCATCCTATGCCGTATAACTGGAGGTCAGGGATGACTTCGATCTGGGATCTGCCATGGTGCGTCGATACGTCGACCTGATGAATGTGGATCACCCAAATGCATTCACCATCGACGGATCCTAGAAATCCACATAATTAGTTTGGATTATCCTCATTTGGTCTTGATTACCCTCCTGAGTACTCTTAGACTATGTTATATCACAGACGTTATCACCAAACAGTGAAATGAACCCTTACCATGCAGAATCTTCCATATCACTAGCAGCAGATTAAGAAAAAACCTACGCTTCATGATTCTCAGCAGTTCCGTCCAACTTCGAATTTCGTTTTCTTCCACGGTCAGGAAGTGAACTTAATGGATCTTTCATTCTTAAGAATCCAGAGATAGTGTTTAGTCGCTATTGATTCCACTGCTACTACTTTGTCCCAAAACAATCATATCTGAAGCAGACGTGAGGAGAACGGATATAAATACTAGGATTGTTACGTTAGCAGAATCTGTGAGGCCATGAATATACAGAGGTTCTGGAGAAAAAGTTCATCACCACTGACATTCAAAGACCAGTAGTTTCACCAAATCTAATGAAACCCCGTTCAAACAGCCTGAAGAGTTGACGAGAGCCCAGGCGGGATGACGATATACACCTACTACAAAAATATATCGGTAACAAGTAAGGATACCCCAACGGATGTATGGTTCTCATAGAATTAGTGAAGCACTTGACAATTCTGACCATTGTTAGTGCACACGATTTGTAGGGAAAATATCGCCTTTCACTTCAGACGCACACCTGCTCAGTTTTCATTGTAAGCTATGGTCTAAAGTCTTCAGCTCACAGTCATTCAGTTGCAGCCAGCGATTTTCAACTTTATATACAATTTACGGGTATTCCATAAGATTTTCATTTATAGTTCTGTAAGTGTTGAAGCTAGACTTAAGATAGTCTTCGATATCACCACACTTACTAAAAACTTCACCGTCTTATGACTTTACGAGTACTCTACCTAACGTGTAAGTACTGATTAACTCAATCAAAGTTTAATAGCTAACAATGGAAAGAATTCTTAGTATGAGTTGTATTTAACGTAAATGTATAACAAATTTAATAAATAAGGTGACTGTACAACTTAGCTGCAGACGTTGCTGGAGGTAGGCTCGGAGAGTGTGCAGAAAGAGAGCACAACAAGAGAGCGAACCTATGAACGTACGGAAGACTCACAAGTCAAAAAGATAAAACGTGGATCACCGTGGGTGAGTCAGTTTAAACAAAAGTTCAAAGGTACAATGTGCACTACAGTTCCATCACTGTACATCCATCTCTAGCATTTTGCAGACACACAGTCTGCATTCACCCACAAGTAACTTACTTGAGATATATCGCATACAAACTGGAGAATTCAGCCATGAGGAACATATATGATATTTGGAATGAACGATTAACCACACGAATAATAATTCAACAGATTTAATTTGTTTTCTTAATCATACCACATGCAAACAGGAGATCTAAAAATGAACCCTAAGTTAGTGCCTATGAACTTAAGGCATCTCTTTTTCTTCATCCTACCGGGTAGGCGAATCTCAGAAGGATTAGTAATAGAGTTAAAATCCAAAGGGAGGTTACAGCGAAGTGAAGTGCTTGTTCCCACATCTAGTCATTAATTCTTGGAAGTAACTCTCGGAAAAAATGGCGTGCTCATACTCAAGAGTTAAGTACAAGATTGAAAGGATTAGTAGAAAGGGGTTAACAAGGCCTAAAATCTTCAATCCTGAATAAATAATTTGAATCTACAACACAGCATTAACTGCATTTCAAGAAAGTGTAGTTATAGAACCAAGCTGAATGAATAACAGGGGTTAAATATTCCTGAGAAGTATAGCGACAAGAAATTCCACACACGGTCAACTTTATACTATTGGTAAGCTCCATTAGTTTTAATCTGGAGAGTGGTAAAGGAGATCATTCACCAGGCGGTCTCAGACACTGTTCCTTTAGTCACACCAAAAGCTAGGAAGCAACGTTCATGGCTAAAAAGAGGGACACAACGCCTTCTGCAGGCGAAGCGAAAAGCCTGGTTTGCGTGGCGACGATCGAAGAGTCAACCCGAACATGAAGTGTACCTTGAACTCAGGAATCGATGTAACATACGAGTCCGGAGCGATAGAAGGACATTTCAGGGAGACCTCGCCAATAAGCTTCTCGTGAACCCCAAAAGCCTATACAGGTTTATGGCCGAAAGAAAACCGACCAACCAGGGAGCATGCAATCTAGTGGGTTCTGATGGGAAATCTCTTACTAGTCTTGAAATGGCAGAGACATTCAGCCTAGCCTTTCACAGGCAACTAAACAGTAACGAGGATATTACCCCCACAGAACATCAAGATTACATCGCAAAACCAACGCGCGAAAACCTGCTGGGTACATTTCAAATTACCCCGGCTATGGTACTTGTAAAATTGGGAAAGTTGGCTTCGGGAAAGTCTTCAGGTTGTGATGACATCAGACCATCTGTCCTGAAGCAGTGTTCAGAAAGTCTCTGCCAACCCCTAAGTGATCTGTTCCAACACTCCCTTGATGTAGGGAAACTTCCATGTGAATGGAAACGAGCAATCCTATCCCCTATCTTCAAGGGTGGTGACCGGCAGAATGCGACCAGTTACAGACCAGTTGCTCTACTTCCAGTGATATCGAAAATATTGGAAAGTCTCATTGACGACCACATGAGAAAATACTTCGATGGGACTAACCTTCTTCACGAAGCACAGCACGGTTTCAGGAGGGGAAGATCCTGCGTGACGAATCTTCTACTAGCTTGGAACGATTGGACACTATCCTGGGACAAAAAGGTACCAGCCCACGTGATCTTTCTCGACTTTGCGAAAGCATTCGACACAGTTCACCATGGTCTGCTCCTTCACAAAATAAGCAAGGCGGGTGTTTCTGGAGCACTTCTCGCATGGCTGACAGATTACTTAGGCGAGAGAGAATTCTGCACCAAAGTCAACCGCATCCGATCATCCTGGCACACCTCGGCATCAGGGGTTCCTCAGGGTTCTATCCTAGGGCCGTTGATGTTTTTGATTTTTATCAACGACCTGCCCTCCCAACTAAACTGCTCTGCGCTTCTTTACGCTGACGACGTAAAGATTTGGAGAGCAATAAACTCATCGGAAGACTCAGATAGATTGCAGGCTGACCTGCAAACTCTGGGAAACTGGGCTCTGGCTAACGGAATGCCTTTCAACCTAAAGAAGTGCAAAGTAGTGCAACTTCATTCCGGCAGGTCACAGAGTGTAAATTACACCCTTGGTGGCCAGAACTTGAGTTGTGTTCCATCAGAGCGCGATCTAGGTCTTATTCTAACAGAAAAGCTAGACACCAGTGGAAATTACGCGAGGGACGTCGCCAAAGCCTACGCAACTTTACACTTTATGCATAGGCAGCTGGGAGCTCTCACTCCCGAACTGTTCTTAAGGTTATATAAGGCATATGTGAGGCCACACCTTGAGGTGCATAATATCATTGCACCTCCGCTACTCAAAAGGGATGCTAACATTCTAGAAAGTGTCCAGAGACGAGCGACAAAATGGGTGATCGGCCTCCGCAACAAATCATATGAGGAACGACTAAAGAAATTAGGTCTTTTCACACTTAGTTACCGTAGGCACAGGGGAGACCTCATCACCGTCTACCAGATCTTAAATGACCAGGCCCACCCAAATAAAAGCATCCTGCCATTAAGTGATTATAGGCTTCCACGAGGTAACCCGCTAAGGATAGCACACCAGAGACCAAAGACTCGAGTGCGATCACATTTCTTTTCGCTTCGTGTTTGCCGTCTCTGGAACGCTTTACCGGCGGCCGTGACTACAGCGCCATCTGTGGAGATTTTTAAGCGGAAGCTAGACAATCATGCAGAAATGCAAGGTTTGTGTCTCAATGGCTTATCCTCATAAAACTTAAAACCACACTGTCAAACTAAATCCCCACGACCTATTCTGCCTTCTGTCACTCTATCTTTTCCTTAGGTCACCTTTATTCCACTTATTCCAACCTATATTATCTACACTACAACCTATTATTATTCTGCTTTTATGACTACACCGAATGACCAACGGGAGTTAGGTCAAACTCCATTCACGGCAGCAATACAGTCCTAACATACTGCATACTACAAACCACATCTTGACGAATCCCCGCATCACTCCTCTTGGAGTCTACCGGAGCTAAAGCAGTCGAGTGGCGGGAGTTACTACGCAGAAGCTCACCGAAGATCTGGAACCTCTACCTCACAATCAAGACGCGAGCTCAAAGAAATCACTGGTTTATACTAGCTCGTAATCAGGATATTGGATATTGGATTCAGTACTTTTTAGTTTAACCAAAAAGCGGGCTTGTTGGTTTGGCTTGCAATAACTGCGTGTTCTGCTCGTGTGAAATGAGTTTTGAAACAGCAGAAAACCTTTATAATTGCTACGAAGAGGACACATCCCTTCTTTTGGAAGAAACGGTTCGTCCTAAAGAGAGGTGGGCCCCTCTGGGAGCAAATGCAAGCCCTGAACCAGGTCATCACGCTTTCGAGGAGTCAGGGATTGAAAGTAACTTGGAACAAGATTCAGAATTGAGCCGTCTTATGCTCGAAAATGAACAGCTGAACAATTCTCTGATGGCACTTACATCCCACATTGCTCAGGTATTGCGTTAAGCTGTAGTTTATGCATAATAATATGCATAATTGAACTGAAGTTCACTTTTTATTTTCTGCTATCATTGGTTATTATATCGAACCCTTAGGGTTATTACTAGTGATTTAAATATTATTACCTAATATTCGCATTATGTGTTATTGTTTTAAAGACAATAATTGTCTCACTTGAGGCAGTCACCGACTAGCACTCCTTATGAGGAGTGCCAGTCAGGTGTACCTGACCAAGAAGTATCAGCTTCATTATGAAGGTTTCCGAACAAAAGCTGGGACATCACTGAGATACTGCAAAGATTAATAGGCTACAGGAGCCTGTTGTATTTTATCACTGAATCTGAAGGATGTAAATTCCAGTGGTGCGAATATTACAAGCACAAAAAAGGCATAAGTCTTTCTAAAAGAGTTCCAAGATGTATAGATAGTATTTCCAGAAACCCAAACCTACAATACGTAACTATAATGAAATTATCTTTAGATTTGTTCCGCAGTGTTGTGTAAAAGCCATTGATAAATAGCTTGTATAATAAAATTATGAATAAAGGACTGTCACTTTTTAACTAAGTGCTCAGTTAAACTACTACTTTACTGCTTCAGAAGTTAGCTAATTAATGCATTATTATCGTTATTATTATTGATTCTTTGGGTTTTGAATGCAACAAAGGGCATCAGCTGCACAAATTTATTTCACTCCATTTTCTGCCATCATTCTCATTCGACAGCAAGAGTTCCCACAAACTTTTGCGTTCATAAAGTTTCATCTCTGCCACCATCGGACGCACAACTCACCACTCGCTTTCAGTTCAGGTGTCATTCGAAGCCTTGCTGCATGATGTTGTTGAATGGTTTTCTCAGAACACGACCAGTCCAACCATCTCCCTCTCTTTCTGCATGTATTTTTGCAATAGGTTGTTTCGTGGTCCATAGCCATATTTCGTTGCCCTTCATCTTTCTATGACCGGTCATCTGATTTTCGATATGGAATGAAGGTGATTGTTGATAAAAGTCCACAGTAGCCTGTTGAAAATGCTTTGGTAACTCACTCACACTGAATTCACACCAGTGTTAATAATTCCCACCTTGTTCCTTATATTAAGTGCAGTAGATTTCCATACTGATTTCAGAGTAATGAAAGTCTCTTACTTTCTCGGTCCTAGCTGCTTGTAACATCCTCACTCGTAACATCTGTATTCCAGTTGATACTGCCCCAGTCAGTGGAAGAGGCAGCTCCCTTTAGATGCATCCCATTGGTGCTGGTTGGTTTTATTATTGGTGGTTAAACATCTTCATTACCAATATCTTCGCTATGTTCGGCTAAAGTTCTTCCTTCTCTGTCCTTCGTGCTAGTAAGTCGGTCATCGCCTCTATATCTTTGAGTTTATTTGACAATAGACATAAGTCATCTACAAAGTTCAGGTCTTTTAAAGTCTTTCTGTCTGTCCACTATATGCTTGTACCACGGCTCCTCTTTGTCTGTTGTATGGTCCAGTCCATCACAGTTAGGAAGACAGCCTTGTCTTACTTAGGTCTTCACTTCAAAGTCTTTTGTGAACTTTCCGTAATGAATCAGTTGCCATGTGATGCTATAATATCACTGCTGAAAGAGGTAAATGAATGTTTGCAGCATTGTACTTCCTAGTGTTGAATCAGTTTCCAAATTACTTCGTTGAAAGCGTTTACATAGTGCAGACTGGACTGCCACTCTAGACTCCGTTCTACAGTGATTCGTAGCGTTGCAATTCGGTTCACATTTGACTTAGTCTTTTTAAATCCTGCCTGTTGAGGGTAGAGTTTCGCATTCAGAGAATCTCTGGGGTGATGTAGCATGATTCTGTGACAGTCATTACACATGCAGAATTAAGTCGCCTTTTGCGGGTTTGACAAGCTAACCCTTCTAAAATAGTGCGGAAATTCCATGTGGCTATCCCCACTTTTGGTCTCATCAAAAGGAGACATATCTGTCGACTGGCTTCCCGAAGGCTGTCACCCGTGGGCGTTAGTCGTTCTCGAACTGAGGACTGTTCCCGATTTCAGATATGAATAAGTTTATTTCTACGGTGCTTTGAATTTCTAGCAGTGATAGGGTTGTTCCGCGCGGGGTAGGGTTGCAAACACATGCCCAATCTTCCTTCTTCTCCTCGTTCTGGTAAACTAGCCTAGGTTTTAAATTATTGCCTCAATAAAGTATATGACTCATTGCCTCTAAGTGTGAAGGCTGTTCCAGCACTTATATCTCCCCGACAGAATGTTAGCTCCTGTATATGGAGATAAAATTATCTGACTGCTCACAGCGTGAAGAGAAACTAAGAGTGTTAATGTATTTCGAGGATTAACGAGGATACATTGGCTTAGAGTGTTGATCATTAACAAAAGTTTGAAATCCCTACTTGCTGTAAAGGAAATGAGGAACACAAAATACAAATTAGAAAGATTTGGCTATTTGGAAATGTGTTCTTATTAGCAGTATATTTGAGTTTTTTAATAAAAGGTCGAGACTACACAGTGGAAAAAGATTTAGAACTTATCTAACAAATATGGCTTTATTACAAACTTCAAAGGATGTGTGCGTTGACAATATAATGCAAAAGCGCAGAAATGGAGTTGGAGCCAGTCCAAATGAGTACACGTTAAAACAAAGTCCTAAAACACTGGAAACTGCACTACATCTCTTTAACAAAATCCCCAATAATTTAAAGCACAATGAGTGGGATAAGGCACGATATGTAACAATAGACTGTCGGCTTAACTTGTCACATTTTAAATTCACACTGAACAGAAGATAGATAATGAAAAGTTACTTGTACAAATTGAAATATCATACCTTGCCCTTTTTTTACTTTAAGTTTATCGATTTACAGAAGCCTAATAACTGGTAAACAGAGGGTCGGAATTTAAGCCTGCTTTTGCACTTCATTTTTTAATTAAGTTTACAAACAAACTAATTGTTATTATTGTGAAGGTGTAACATAAGTAAATCACCTTATAGAAGTGGTTAGAAGTTTATGCTGACATCTGTCTGTTTCTGGTAAATATCTAAAATTATCATTAGTGGTATTACTTAAGACGAGAAAAATAATCAATCTGTGCATTAATTTGAAAGACCTCGACTGCAGACGTTTTAAATAACTTATACAAGAAAGAAAGAAATGCATGCAATAAGTTGACAGCAGAGCTCAAAAACTACAGTTCGACCTTTACCATTTATAAACTAAAACATTTACTTATTCGAATGCAATTTTACTTGAATTTTTATACTTTAGGTGCAATTCCGCTTAGGCCAAATACTAAATGCTGAGGCTGAAAGTAGAGAACCAATGCTGAAATCTTTAGAAGAATATGCCTCTAGAGGAATACCTGACCTACAGTTGCTGGCAGAACACTGTAATAAGGTTAGAAACTGTTATGCTAACTGTGTTTCGGTAATTTCAACATTGTTTCATTTAACACATCTTTAGCTCGGATTTTTTAATGTTCAGATTTACTACAGGTTGAATAAATAAGTTAGGTTAATTGATAACTTTCACTTTATTTTCTGGTTGATTACCAACAACATCACCTCATGGAAAAGTTTTCGTGGATAGTTGTTGCATACAATAGTGAACTAACTTCAAGATAACAGTTTGAAACAAGGGTTTAAAGTATTATTATTTTTCTTCCCTAGCAATATAGATATATTGAAAAACGTCTGTTTAGGGACAGTAAAAGATCTAATTTTACTGGGAAACTGTTGTTGGTACTGTGAATAAACCTTTTAGGATATAAGCTAGCTACTTTCTTCATCTCCACTGTCGTATATTAAAGGTAAAGAATGCCTGCTAAGAGTACACAAGTAACTGTTGTCCGCTACAGCGACGGTGAACGATATATCTTCCATATTCTGAATAGAATATTTTAGTCCATTTATCTGAATACTATCAATGAAGTCAACGTATCCTCAATTGAAGTCAAGCATCATCTGTCAAGATTGTGATGACCTAGTTGATATTATCGAATTTCATGCTAGTGATGTATCTTATTGTAAAGTTCGTAAGTGTGTGTATCGTTTCTGTTTTGCATTATTGTAATGATGGTTGCATCTTTTCTAAACCCTCGTAGGAAAGACGATTCGGTTAGTTAAAACAAATAATATATTTTACTGTTCAGCAACACTTTGTATTGTTATTTTTCTTGTAGTTGTGAAATCTGTTCTATTTTACAGACTAGAGTATAAAATGATAAAACTATCTATTTCGTTTGCAATTTCGAAAATCTTACTCAGTACCAATGAAATATAACATATCGGAGAGGATTTTTTAAAATTTATTGTCAGAATAGGCCTTCAGCGAAGAGTTACCCTTTTCATTGACATCATACTCAAGTTGTACAACCGCACACATGTAGTACATTTCCATAGCCGTCCACATGCTGAATCCTAAACTGTGCATACAGAGAAAGTTTGTTCAGTCACTGAATATGCAATGTACCTAATTTGTTTCAACACTTGTTACGTATTTTCTTTTGTTAAATCTAATATTTTGACTATTTACATTTTATTATTTTCATCCCTTCTCATTAATACATTTCTACTCCTCATGACACATCGCTTAACTTGACCCTCCTTCAAACTTCAACCGATTTCTACTCAATCCTGTCACTGAACTTACTTATTTAACTTTATTTTGGTCTCTATCCAATTAGTGTTTTCCGTTTTACGTAATTGTTATTAAAAACTTACGATATAAATATGGGTGAATGCACAGTTTGAGAAAGATATCACTGAAAAAAGTAACTCATCTATAAACGCCTCTTTTATATGACAAAAGGGATTTTGGCACTAAATTTATTATTGTTTTTGTACGGCAAGTACAAATGATCTTAACCGAATTAGATATTGCCGGTATTTTAGTATTATTCAGCTGATTTTACACAAAATTAAATAATTCCAATTATTTTGTGAATTTAGTGAAGCATGTAAGACATAACAAGCAGATTACGGTGAATTACATTCACTGACAACTTTGAAAAGCAGACTGTAATACAACTTAAACTGGCTATGAATTGAAAACATTATTCTGTATATTTTGACCCATATATGAAGGATTAGTGTATTTACAAAGCGACATCAGTGGATCAGATTCGCTTTAGAGCATTATTGAAGTCCTTCTGTAATTAAGATTATTTTGTGAAGAATTATATTATGCATGTAGTTCATTTGGAATTGGTTGTGAAAACTGTATCAAAGTAGAAAATGCATTAACCATCCAAATCAAATGGATCCCTACTTGGATAAAATAATCATTCTTGTAAGAATTTCAAAAGAATAACTGTTTTCAACAGTCCTTTGTATGTTTAAATTTCGATATCTGTAGGTGAATAGCTTGACCTCGAATCTTACACTAACTATTGTGACCAGTAAATAACACAAATCTGTGCATAATTCTGAATATTATTGTCACTGATATGCCTTAAGAATAAACTTGATTCACTACGCATCTTATGACTTCGCAGCTTAACTTCAGTCAATAACAGTGATATAATTGTTATTTGACTCGTTGGTTTCAATATAGCTTTTAGGGCAAGTGCACTGTATGATGAATTGAAAGAAGCTGGAAAATATAGGTAACCGAATACATATGTTGTGTCTGAATAATGAAATATCTGTACAGAGATCATATAGTCACCAGATGGGTTGACCTGTCATTGAGTGAATGCATGTACACTACTGGCAAAATCTATACCTTCATATGAATGGATTCCCCAGTTTCATTTCTTTAACGATACGTCATGAAGGAGTGATTGACTAACTTATTAATGTAGACTTTACCACAATACTGCATCATTTCAAGTTGTGACATTTCCACAAAGCAGAAGAAAGTAGAGAACAGATGTATGAAAAAGAATAATCAGATTAAGATTACTGGGAATTTTCAGGAACTAGAAGACGACCTGGGGAGAATACATATGTTCTAATGTGAGGGACTTTGAGCCATTTCACTAACAGACTGTAACCACTGAGTCTCAGTATCTCTAGGACCCCAACCAGACAGTCTAATTCTTCCTATATAATTCAAGCCAACCAATGTAATGAAAACTATTTTCAATTATTTCGTGTAGCTGAATATCTATTTAAATCTTTAATTTATTCTAAATATCACTGCCAGTCATACTGATGCTTTTTCCCCAATTTATCAAGTGGTTATTATTTTCTTTTATTTAGCTATCCTTAGAATCAAAAGCATGCAGTACGAATTTAAGTGGACGACCACAAAAACTGATTGAGCAGTTGAGAAGACATCTAGATGACCTCGAAAGATTTGCATATGAGGTAATAATTATCTGAATGTTTTTAAACTGTGTGCAGTTAAGTATCACAACTAATCATGCATACAATTTACATGGTATAATTTCTGTATGGCTGCGGCTAAAATTACATTCCAGTGGTAAACGAGTATGTAAATGTGGCTTCTCTATAAGAGTTAATTTATAAACTGTATCTTTACGAATAACCAAATTTGCTAGTGTTTTAATAGGGTTCGCCCGCTAATAAACTGCTGCCACCTGATGGGATTTAGTGTGGTTATCAAAGTAACTAATATGCGAAGAGTATACTTTTTTTGGGTCACTCTACTCCCATTCGAAACTATTCAACAAGTGCGTCATTATGTCCATAATACGTCCCAAAATTCTCAATAAGATAATTTTATACTCATAATTTATTTCCCTTTTCTGTCTTTCCATCCATGCGAAAATCCATTGATAAGCAAACCATCATTTGATTGGCTCATTGGATTTTATTGACCTAAGGAAATGTGATTGATTTTCATTAAATAAACAGAGAAGTAGTATTTCTCACACCGCCTACGCGTTTGTCGCCTACGTTATCGTCTGCTTGTTCTAATTTTAGTTACTTACTGCTTATTCATTCGCTTTTTCAACTATTTCACTTTAAAAAAAACTAATCGATATTAGACTGAGGTCTATTTATAGACCGAAGATTTGAACAAAATGATTAGTAATTAAAAGATAAGGGAAATGTATTCATGTAGAAGTGATAATCAGACCCTTACCGATCAATGTAATCAATCGTATTTTATTTCTTTAGACTGCAAAACATACTTGAGTAGTAGTAGTTGTACTAGTACGAACTTTCAAGTCAATGCGACACATGAGGTACAAAAAAAGTGCATAAGATATTTTTGTTGCATTTTCGAATCATACAAAGTTCGTATTATACACGTCATATTGAGTCATAAGAAAAAGAAGTAAACAGCGAAGAAAATCTTCTTTTTAACCATTCATTTTCATGATCTGTACAATCGTAATCATATTTAACAAAGAAATCATAAGACCAATCAGATACTGGTAAAATTTGTCCTCGAGATCGTATAACATATTTTTTAAAATTTTGATTACAGCTTGATGCCACACCGTATTTTCCGTACAAGTATGGAAATTATCAGCATGTGATATCGGTAGCCCAAATTTTGCAGACCGACCATAGATATCGGGTGTATGTCGGCAGGGGATCGAACCCCGGCCATGTGCATGGTCGGCGAGAGTCCTAACCACTATGCCAACGACGCCGTAAGGTGTAACCTAGAAGGGGTGACTAACTGGAAATTAGAAAAGGGACAGAAGTTGGCATGTGAGATGACTAATCAATATGCTTGTGTAGAATGGACAGGAACTAGTGGAAAGATGATCATTTTTTAATCTGTATGAAGACGCAATGTTATTAATAAACAGTAGTAGAGTGATAATAAGTGCGTCGGTGGCATAGCGGTTAGGACGCTCGCCGGCCATGCACATGGTCCAGGGTTCGATCCCCAGCCGACGCACTCCTTTACCTCGCTAAGCCAGAAATAATGCTGGTAAAGAGGAAAGGTTGGGCATGAGGCTAGCAACCCCATCCTGTAAAATGAAGACTGCTACAGAAACTTCAGGTCACTAGCTTGAAGCCCTATGTTCCACTGGGAACGTGAAGGAAAGAAAAAAAAAGAATGATAATAAAATAAGGATGATGAAAATAATAAATAATAATAGTAAACCTACATGTCAGCTCATGGTGAAATCCTCTATACAATCAAACAAAATCCCTATAAAACCAATACTTGATAATAAAAGGAAGCAAAATTATAGCAGGAACGTTAATCTGGCCATGGTAGGGCGAGTGAATGTATGTGGTGCTTTCCAATGCAGAGGTCCGGTTTCAGATCCCAAATAGCCAGTGATTCAGCTAAGTACAGGTGGCACATTTGAATTCCTTTCCAACGATATTGAGGGGGTGCTCGATGTCCACAGTTGTCAATGTGTTCGAGGATAGATCTGCTAGTATTCTTCTTTTCTCATCTGGCTAGCCAGTCAAGATGGACAGTGTTGCAGAATACGTTTGCGGACTTTACGTTACGTACGGCCGATATACTTTACTCCACAGGAGCAAGTATACTGATGAATACACATTGGATTAGTCAAAAGCGGTATCTTGTTCTTAACGTTAGAGCGGATTAACTGTCTACTAAAGAATGTAATACGTAAGGTGGCTGCTTGAAATATCTTCTTCAGACATTTAGAAAGGCTGTTTCTAAGAATTTCAGCTCCGATGTCACTTTTGAATTCCAGGCTCACCAAGACAGTTTTCTTAGGAACAGTTGTAATTTTTGGCGACGGAGGCTTTTCCTGCATGTTTTTATCGAGGAATCTTGGTGGAGAATCGTTCTCTAGTAGGGTTCCACGTAATGAATTTAACTTATTCTCCATCGTATCTTCCGAAAACACTTTTCGAATCCTTGAAAGTAATGTATGTACGGGGTTTTGCTTTCATATTAAAAGTTAACTTTGACGAACAGGGACATTCGTGAGATGGAAAGAGGCAACCTACTACCATAGTTTTAAAATAGTTTAAGTGTTATTGATGCATGTCTAAAGTTTGGGCACTGTGCAAGTATATAATTCCATGTTAATTTGTTTATTGGATTATACCATACAGTAAAGCGGTATTAGTGTTTACTGCATGACGAAGTTTCCGTCACAATTTACTTTTCATGATCATATCAGTTGAGTAATTACACAACTTTGAAAATTTTTTTTCATATATAAAAGACTTGTTTATGTCCACTGAAGACATAGTTGCAGTCTTTAGAGACAAAAGTGCTTCTCTCAGTTGTCCATGAGCCATTCCATAGTTTCTACTGTCAGTGGTATACATACACAGTGGTACAGAGAAACTGTGATAGATATTATCAACAAAGAATCTAGTCATATTTCATGCATATTGAGTAAATTTATTATGTCTTGTATCTCTAAGTGAAATACATATCATGGTGCAATCAAATAAAGAAATGTTGTCTGACAGTTAAGATTAAGATGATACATTAATGAATCCGATCAATATTGCTAGCAGTTTCCAGCTTTAGATGTCAGTTATCTCGCGAAATCCAACTAAACGACTTGTACTAATAGCGACACAACTCATAGTAAAAGTTGAACATATTTTAGATTAGTAGTACGTTTTAGTCTCCAACTTTCACTTGCTGTCCATTTGTTCCGACATCCCAGCTAATACAACTTGTCAAGGTAGACAATACGTAAATATGTGTTAGAAGACTAACAGATGTTCGTCGGGAAGATGCCACCATTTTGTTCAATTGTATACAACATGTATGCATAGATTTATACTGTCCCATAACAGAGGTACAATATTAGGTTATCATAATATAATGAAAATTTGATAATTAATGAAGCTAATGGAAATACTATCACTAATAACCTTAGATTAGCAGACGATTATTAACGTAATGGATGATGACTGAAATTGAAGTGAAAACCTGAGTCACAACAGGGTCCAAAGCATCAACCATCCGGACCATTAACTTGATGGCAATGCATTTTATGAATCCACTGTGATGACCTATAGGAATGGAATTTCTGTATTCGTCTACATAATTTCTTGCTGACTTATTCCAATTTCGCTCAATGTAACAGAAGAAGCAAATGAAGTCGCACTTCAGTGACGGCTTTTGTAGTAACACATCCAGATTTAGGTTTCGATTCGCATATTTGGAGGTGATTTCTGTATTTTGATACCTTTTTCCTACTCTGTATAAATATGAACCTTTTCCATTTAAGTTGACAACTACCAACGCCACTTAGGTCTCAAACTCTTCCCTACTATCCTTACTTATCCTGTGAAAAACTCGTGTCTGGGTGTCTTTACGCTGTAGCTTGCGAAGACGTTTATCCAGACCACGAACAGTGTCCTTCCTCACTAGTGCTACCATCAATGCTAATTGAATCCTTCATCCTGGCAGTTAATGTGTAGTTGTTGATGATGATTTTGTTGAATAATACGCTTTTATTCTAGCAATACTAACAAACCTCGACTCCATCCCAGTAATAATGTTTGAATAGACTGAAACATGGATGCAAAGTAGACTAGGAATAGAAATTTTCGCAATGTAGGGATGTTTTTGTTTTGATCCACAAAATATCTCATCTTGAGAAATTAAATGGTGCGTATAGTTCAACTGTGTTTCTAAGGCGAATATCATCTGGTGAATAAAAGAAGATTAGATACATCATTATTTTCTAACAGTAGTAAGATTTTCATTGACGTAAGAATAGAAATCCAAATTATTTCTCTACCGTCATTGAAATGGACCTAAGGCATAAGTATTTCAGTGATACTGTTAGAGTCGGAGAAAGCACATGGGATATGTGAGCCATTTCAAGCGCATGAGACATCGGAAAAAATACAGCACAATATCCCACTTTTCCCGTGTTTCCTATTTGTCCCGTCTTTTCATAGAACTGCTTTACCCCATATCCCATATAAACTAACCAGACATTTAAATTTTTCTTATTTATCCCACTTTTCGAACTCAATACAACCCCACCTTGTCTTACTTGCCAAATGTCTATGGAAAATTCTTTGACCAAGGACCACCTTCCTGTGGATGTTCGAGGTACGAACACTATTTTTATTCGAATTTTTAGAGCAGAAAATTTTTTCAACCGCTAAATTAGCAACTGTTCTTACAAGAATCCTCAGATTAAATGAAACTTCTTTATAAAGTAGAAAAGTAATACGTTTGTAAGGCCAATAGATAATGATAATTTACGGATTTTCCAGAATATGTAAACGTTTTATGTGGTGAAGTGCTTAGCACATATTACAAATAAACCTATCATATCCATTAATTCATTTTGTAGATAAATGCATTATTTTTTCTCTCAACCGTTTTTAATACTGACTGTGTATGAACTTAGACATTTAGGACTTTCAGTGTACGACTTTGCATATATTAGTCTCAGTCACATGACCCGTACAGAAAAATCTATTCGGTCTCTTTTACACTGTGTGTGTGTATGTATTCTAGTGTCCTCATATGAAGTCAGAATTCGCATGTGATGTGAGATAAGAACACGGAAGTCAGTAAAAAAGGTCAATTTTTATAATTACTTTGGATTCTTTGTATTCTGGTGTCCCATCCACTATCTCCAAACAACTACTCATCACTTAATTAGTTGTTTACGCTTTCTTGATTACGTAAGACTATTCATTATTTTTTCATACATCACTATTTCTCATACACTTTGATTTACTTTTATTTATTGACTGACAATAAACTCTGACCTTAGTTGGCAGTTAACATTATGCGTATAAAACCGTTTGATGAGGAACTATGAAAAGTGATCGTTTTGGGTCGACTCATTTAGCCTTAAAATCAAAATTATTGTATTATGTTAGTATTTTTGAATCATTTATTAATTCAATATTCACTTTTCAAAACAAATATTGTTTCTAACTTATGATGACTGGACATGCTTCGAACTGTCAATCTCTGTGTTACCTTTTTTTGCAGACTGGTGAACAGAGTGAACCTCCTACTCAAACAATGTTAGAAAAGCAACGTTTAGTCATAGAAGGTCTAAGAGAAAAACTTGAATTGAATATCTCAAATTTAGACCAACTTCCAGCTGATAAACTCAAACAGGTTGTAGACAATGCTGTCAATCAAGTGAGTTCTACAGTATTTTACAATATTCATTAAAAAAAAAGACTCTAGGAAATTGAAATAAACCTTCTTCAGCTATTAGTCATTTACCTATCACATCGGTGAACTTTATTCTGTTACCTAATAGTAGTTGACAGCAAGTTTTAAAATATGTGTAAAACTTGGGCACTGTGGTATTAAGTAATTCCATATTAGTTTGATTATTAAATGTATCACACAGTGAAACAGTATTGTATACTGGATGACGTTTCGAACACAATTTATTGTTCATAATCATATCAATTTTTGATATGATTATGAACAATAAATTGTGTTCGAAACGTCATCCAGTATACAATACTGTTTCACTGTGTGATACATTTAATAATCAAACTAATAAGCAAGTTTTAAATTTAGGTTTTACATTTTAAAAATCTAACACTTATGCAGAAAGCACGCATAGGCGTGCAGAAATGATGTGTGAGAGAGGATGGTCAGATGAAGATCAGTGAGGATTTTCACACATTGATAGGTGATGAGGAGTGAATACATCTACATTATCGAAAACGACTTTTAGTCAGTTAACCAACAGTATGTAACTACTAAATCCTAAGAAGGAGAAGATCACTGACAGACCAGCAGTTATGTTTTAATCAGATCACGCGTGGCTTTTTTTAAGCGGATTTGATGCTAATCGGCATTGCTTCTTGTGGGGACAGGTGGTTCGTCATGCCTAGTACAAATTCTAGCCACCTAGATTGATGAAGCTTCATAACTTCTACCACTGACCTACGTTTTTATTTAATAATCTACATCTAGCCGCACCACTACTGTTCATATGGTTCCACTTAACATGTTCAGTTGGACAAAATTACTTTTTTGTAAAAACCTCTAGTCTTTCTAATTCTACTTTCAGTGGCCATATCTCATAGCTGTAGGCTGGAAGCGTAACACATTAGATTCAGTACAGACTTGTTTTTGAATAAAGCCATATTCAGATTTATTAAAGGGAATAAATGTAAAAACTTGTTTATGAGAGTTACAGTGACTAAGCTAAATATCGAGAATAGTAGGACGCACACTAAACTTATAATGCCTGAGTGTATATGGCTTTTTTGAACATTAGTCAATCACGTGATAGCGAACTGAATTTTTAATTTGGCTGAGGTAACATTTTTTAACTCGAGTGATCAATGATCTAAACCAGTCCGATAGATCTATTGTGGGCTTCTATACACTAACTAATACTTTACATGGTTTAGACAGTAATTCAACACCACTGGAGTCATACCATCACGTCGTTATGGTTTGGGTCGTCTGATATTAGAGCCAACATTTGCAATCGTGATTAGAGCTGGTGAACCGATGCTCACATTTCATTCTTCTTGCAACTGGATATCAGCTAACGTTTAAGTGACTATCATACCCTATCATGTTCTAACCTTTCCGGGATGAGATTTTGCATTGATCGGTTTGAATAAGGCTACAGAAACTCACTGGTATTTATTAATTTTCGACAGCAGGTAACCAACTGTCTTCACTGACATTTCCACAGTAGAGTGAATGTAGTTTCAGTCTTTCTGAAGATGAGTGTTTCTGTCAGCGTCATATATTTTTTAGTTATCTCGTACTTAAGCACAAACCTCAGGCTATCCTGTTCCACATTCATTTAGTCTTTGCATTACTGTCCACTGTCACCAACTGGGGCAGCACCTACCTCTGTTTGAAGCTACAGATGTACATAAACAGTTGTTGAGAGCTCAAATATAAGGTTAGCGACGTTGATTTAAGAGATTGAGAGGAATGTTTCTTTGGCTTATAGTGTTCGCAGTGATAGCAGAGTTTAAAGATGATGGGAGAAATTGTATGGAGAATAGAAACAGCAATTGTATCAAGCAAAAGCATAATGGAAGTTAGAATATGAAGAGTGTAGGTGTTATTTGAAGTGCGTATGGCTGTTGGTATTTTCAGCTTCTATACCATGAAAGTTACATTCTTCTTTGAGTTTCTCAGTGTAAGGCTGAAATTTTATCTTTACTCTCACATCAAATCACTGTCTGATTATTTCCTGCATTCTAGTTTCTTATTTAACGAATATAAAGAAGTGGTAGTACACATTACTTTGTAAGAATTCATCCAATTGCTTCGAATTTTTTAAGTGTATATTTGAACAATTATTTATGTTGGTGATTAATTTAGACATGAACTTGATGCGTTCTTGTTACTTTCTCTTGCATATCTTATTAACTGCCGATAATAATTTGTGTGATGAAATCTTCATTTGAATTTCAGTTTTTAAATCCTGTCAAAGTTAGTGAAAAACTTGTGGAACAGCTGAAAACTCAAGTGAATGATTTGGAACGATTTATTGATTTTCTTCATGGTAGGTGGCGAAACATTTTTGGTACTGTTGGTTCACGACTAAATTCTTTTGACTCGAACTTTATATGATAGATTGATTTGATCAGGACAATAACTAAATTTAAAATGCAGACCTGTGTTATATTACGATTCTAATTATCACCCTTCAGTTTACGGACTGTGTGCTTTTAGTATTGGATTGCTAGTCAGCTCTTAATTTGATTTCAATCACTTGAAATATTGTCTAGCTCTGGCGTGACTGTTGTTTATTCATCATCGGTACAATGCCTTTTCACAGCTGGCCCTTCACAACTTGAAACCGATAAGTTCAGTTGATCTTATAGGAGGGAGATGATGATTCAGACTAAAACGGAAAGCAGGATTCCAACCAGTCACCTCTGGATTCCAATGATTTTTCTAACACTTGATTATTGATCGTAGATATGTAGTTCTTTTCTTATTTTCACCATAGATCAACTGTTTTAAACATTTAGCTTTTCTAAAATTCTTATTATAATCTACTGATATAAATGAAACAGATAAATTAGAAATACAAGGATTGTAGTGATTCGCTTCCGATTGACTGTTACCCTCCATTATTATTGCTATTACCTTTATTATTATTTGTAATACTTTGGATTTACACTAAGTTTATTCTATGTCGTCACTACTTGATCACTGTCCACTCTATAGCCACTGTATTTTTATCATCATCATTATTGTTATTTTTCATTCCTTTGCGTTCCAAGTGAAAAATTGGGCTTCGGACTTGATTCCGTGAAGTCCTAGGAGCTGTGGTGTTGATTTTATGGGATTAGGCTGCTAGTCTCACGCCCAGTCTTTCCTGTTTTTTAGGCTATCTATCGACTAATAGACTGGGCGAGGTTTATAAATTCGCTGCGTGGTAGTCAAACCACAGATAGCGTGCCTATTTGGCAAGCGTTCAACCAGTGAACCATTAAAGTGACATGACTTGTTTATTTATATTTCGGTATTATTCATATATTGTCTCGCACCACTGGATACAACTCACCCTTTGAAATTTGTAATTTTGTTAATTATAAAAACATGAGCAGGTAACTAAATTGATTGATCTCACTTCATCTTATGTTCTTAATGATTAGACATTACCTTTTATGCATTTAATTAGAAGTTAAAACCAACAGACTACTTTCATCTTATACTTGTACCTCAATATAGCCTATAGTATAATTTTGATTTCCTTTTAGTGGCTATTCTATACTAACATTCATAGATCTATAACTGTACAGACTGAAGAAACGGTTATTGAAGACGATTATTCGCTGATATTATTCTTGTTCTGAATATTTCATAGAGATATTAAAAAGTTACTGTAGTAATTGTCAAAAGGTCTACTGTTGTTCTGTCATCGAATTCATTAAGTCAATTACTGAACACAACACAGCTGTGTTTGCCTTATTATACATGTCATCTCACTATGACAAAAGCACTTCTTATTTATATATCTTATCTTACTGTTCAATTGCTCCATTTGTACTGCTACCAAGTACAGGTGGGGAAAAGCGATCCTCGTCCTATACCCTCAGATTCTACTTTAGTGAGCTCGTCCGACTCATATTCTCTTGATGGAATTTCATTTTTGTTTGCACTGAAAAAAAGTGATAGACCATAAGGGAAAGGAAATGTATCATAAAGCATGAGCATCATGTGTGCTGTTAGGTAATTTATCCTTATGGGTGAGTCTAAAACAGACTTTAACAACGACGCTTATTGTAGTGTTACTGTGTTGAGGTAATGACATAACATATTATCTATATATTTGACATTTAATTATAAATTGATTGTATTTACTTGAGCAGTTTTGAAGTTTTTGCCAGTCTATGACAGTAAATATTGCTTCATAGTTCACGTTTCAGACTTCAAAGTTAAATACATAGCATAACATTTTCATTATTTTACACATATATACAGCCTACTGCACCAGGAAAACTCCGTTTTTACTTGTGTCCAAGTGGTGTCCATTCAAACTCATGGTATTTTAGTTGTTGCACATTACCACTTACCCCCTTAATCTATGATTTCTTTTTCAATTGTTTCTTCTTTCAGTCCTTTTTCTCCGTTCATTCTTTCTTTATTGATTGATAAGGACTGTACACAATTGTGTCTGGCAATAAATATAACTGACTAACAGATTGCCTTAGTTGTCTTTTATTGGCGAACAGCCAACAGAAAACCTGTCATTAGTGTTGCTTTTATTATTATTATTGTTATTAATATTATTGTGTTGCTTTTGGCTTAGAGATGACTACAAGACATGTTCAGACTTGAAAGATTTTCTTCTCTTCTAGACTTATGTCACAGTATCCTTTTTCATTCTAGAGTTGAGAAAAACCCACAGTGAATGAATCAATTTCATGATTTGAACGCTGAAAGTGAAAAAAATATGAAATAGTCATCACTTTTATTCTCAGGTTACTTTTTCATCATTTTATTCCTCTGTTAGTATATGTGTGTAATTCACATATGTTGTCTTTTAAATAAAACAGTGAACTCACAAGGATACAAAAAGGGGGCATGACTTAGGTTTTTTCATATTAGAGCTATAATGTGTCATTTGTTTGTTATGACCACATTTCAGTGTCAGGTAACTTCTGGCTCCTCCTATTGCTCCAAATATTACCCTTACAAGATTGAACAGATCTTCTAAGTAAAATTAATCTCAAATCTTGAGTTATATAACAGATTCAGATTAATCTCAATGTATACTTCGCCATGAACAAATATCATTTAACGAATCACTGAAAACCAAAGACCAGTAGCACTATATTATGAAATTACAGCAGTAAGAATTCAAAGGTCATTGTATTCTAAATCAGTGGTTAAATGGACAAAGTACCGGCCTCGTAAGTTCTGAAAGTCTTGGATTTCATCCTTGGTAATGGGTCATGGGTGTACACTTCTGGAGAGTTTCAAAATAGGACAAAACAGCCTTTAAGGGCTCCTTGGTTTCCAGATTAATTTTCAAGAGTTGGTTTGTAAGGACAGAGTTTCCTGGAGTTGTAGTGAGAATGAATGAATATTTTCTATAGTTGGTTTGTAAGAATTAGATTTATTTTTACGAGTTGATCATGGATTGAGTCTTACCCAGGGAGGCCCATCCAGATGTCACGTGTGAGGATGGATGTCCCACCTACGACAATGGTTGGAGTCGCACTAAATCACGAATTGGTAGAAGTTATAATTCATGGTCTACTGAATCGGTCCGCAGTGGCTGAATGGTATACGAACTTACCTTGTAACCGGAAGGTTCTGGGTTCGAGACTCAGTGAGTGCGTAATGTCGATGATTCCCAACTAGGATGTAACAGCGGCTGTCCAGTACTCCCTGGTTTTCAATGGTTCTCTAAGTGATATCAATCCGTGGGCAAACTCGAAAAATTGGAATTAAAATGTATTTATTTATTTATAAATCATTAAAATATACAGTCGTAGCAAGTTAAAAAAATATATGCGTTTTTGTTAACTTATCTGTAAAAATAATTTTAGAAATCTAAAAAATCAGAATTATGGGTGATCTAAACTAGGAGAGGTCATTATGTTAATCCCACCCCCACGTAGAAAGGATTTATTTGTGTTCCAAGTAGAACAAATGTTTCCAACCATTTTTGGTTCAGTCAGTGGTTGTGTTTTTAAGGGGTAGAGTTACTGTTCTAATTTCCAACCTCCCCTCTTCTCCAGGCTTGCTAGCAACCAGTAAATTAAACAAGGTGTTATCGGAGTACATCCGCGGAGAGTCGAATCTAGACCTACCGCGTGACTGGTGATCATTCTACCACTGGACCAGCGACACACCAGTTGAAACAGCACAATTCCACTTGTGACGAAGTCTTAAGTATAAATTTTTATTGTTGAAATTCTGAATGTACAAACTTTTGAGCAGTTGAATAAGTAACTGTGTGAAGATATCAAGGTAGTCTAGAGCATCTGATTTGCATGATGTTGAAATATTCCACAATATTACATACTGTTTTTTGGCAAAACGGCATCTGTAATTTGAAAGGACAATGTATCAACGCAATCAATTATTTTTCCATAATCTGTTTGCAAACTGTCTATTCGAATAGTTACCTACTTTTAATACATTTTAAAACAACTATGTAAAACAAATTGAAGGAATAATGAAGCCTTCGTGATGACAACATTTAAGCTCGTTTTCATAATTAACTACATTTATGACTACTATTATTACTTTTACGAGGTGATCACGGATTGATATCAGTTAGAGAACCATTGAAAACCAGGGAGTAGTGGACAGCTGTTTCATTCTAGTTTGGGGATCATTGGCAGTACGCACCAACTAGGGTTCAAACCCGGAACCTTCCGGTTACAAGGTAAGTTCGTATGCCATTCAGCCACTGAGAACCGACTCAGTAGACCACGAATTCTAACTTCTACCAATTCGTGATTTAGCGCGACCCCAACCGTTGTCGTAGGTGGGACATCCATCCTCACACGTGACATCTGGATGGACCTCACTGGTCACGACTTCTCACTAGAACTCCAGGACCCCCATCCTGTAGCAAGGCATTATTATATTATTATTATATTTCCCCTTGACTAATTTGAAAAAAGTAATAACAATAAATATGAAGTCAATTTATTTCGTTAGTTGTTTTCAACTGCATACAACTTAAAACAATTTTAGCATCAGTACAGTATAAGAATATCCACATACTTCAATCAAATAATAGATTAATGTTAGAGGGTATCATTATCAGCACATAACTGAATACATGGGAAGCTGAAACGGTTAAATTACAAAATGTAGTGATAAGGTTGTTGAGATGTTTATAAAGAGTGCATGCAAAAAAGATAAAACAGGCGATAGACGTTTCTTTCCATTTTAGGGAATTTTCGTAGTGAGCACCCTACCACTTTACCAGAGATCAAACAAAGCGAAAACTATCTATCGTTCAGCTACTGGGTTGAATGGAACCCAGTCACCCATAAAACCTATTTTCTCTTGATTCGTGAGACAGAAATACTAAGATCCTTTTTTCTCAACGAGTATCATCCTTTACACTCAACTTGGTGAATCATACTTATTCATAATTTTCTTAGGAGGAGGCCTATTCCATTGTCAGTCACCAATAGTCAGTGGAATAAATTTTCTAACTTTGGACATGCAATGATTCGGTTGATTTCGTCATTAAAATCAATGTTTAAAAAAGAATCCATTATGCCTATATCAATCTCAGATACAGTCTTACTATATATGAAACTAAAACTCGTGTTGTACAAGCGCAAATATTCGATTTAACACAATAATAAGTAATGCGGGTTGACAAATGCTATATTTTGTAGTAAATAACATCTTAAGGTCATTTATGGGGAATACACTAAAACTGTGTATAATGATATACGGCCAATAATTCGATTCAAGTATCTCAACTCTCTACCTTGTATATATAAATAACTGTTACGAATACTATATTACGACTATAATATCGATAAACTTTTTATTGTCCAAACTTGATCAGGTGGAAGGTAAAAATTATGCGGTCATTAAATTCAGCTTTAAGACTGCATATTTCTTTGTAATAGTATATATATAATCTAATGGAAAATAAAAAGTAATTACAAGTAAGAAGTAAAATCTAACTTAAAATGTACTTACTTTCATTTCAATATATTAAATATCCCCATAGTAAAATCTAGTACAGCAGATTTATGCGAACAATACTGTTTTCAATTAGACCTCATCAGGCTCAACTGTAATAGACATACCTTTACAAATAAACATTAAAATATAAACCAATCACGGTGTTTCGCCAATGGGATAATAAGATTATGCATACAAATTGTGCAGTTAGTCATAATAATAATATTTTATTTGCTTCCCTTACAGTCTAGCATTACTGAATCGGTCCATTTGTTTATCTTAGCTTTTATCGACTACTTCCACCTGAACATTTCTGGGTTAATCATACTGTTTTTCGTTATTCTTCTTATCACCGATAGCTTCACTTTTTCATCCTTGTTATTGATAGAAACATTACCATTACTATTATTATTATTATTATCATTATTGCTTTCATTTATCATATGTTCATATATTGGTATGATTTTCAGAAATATAATCCACTGACCATAAAACATTCACTAATATATTTTTCCTTGTTTCTCTTTGGAGTATTAGCGTTTAACGCAAAACATTGTATTCAAAGACACGTAAAGACTAATTATCAATATAGAACCAGACATCCCATCGTGAACCGACGTCGGTTAGAGAACCATTTGAAAACCTGGAAGTACTGGACAGCTGTTTCGTCCTAGTTTGGGACTTTTCAGTAGTATGCATCTACTAAGGCTCAAACTCAGAACCGTCTGGTTACAAGGCGAGCTCATAGACCATTAAACCACTAGGACCCGATCCTATGGTCCATCAAATCCTGAAACTAATCAAATTCCTGCAAACCAACACTTGAATAGAACAAGACAGTTGTCTAAACTATCACACTATACATTTATAAGTTGAGTTGAAAAGTGAAAACGTGGGAAATAAAGTACATTGAAGATGATAAGAGTCTTGAAAAGTTTCTGGAACAAATAAATGGATATGATTGTATTGGCGTCCTCACTAATCTGGTGCTAACGACTCTGGACTTTCATCCACCTGCTAGCCATGAGACAGGTTTTCGCTTCATTTCCGGCTGATGCATTCCGAAAACATCTCTCCTAGTTTACTTACAGGTGGTAAACCCGGAGTAGAAGGAAAATTGAGTGTGAGGCCAGCAATCTCACCTAGTGTAAACAAGATCACTACTTAAATCTCAACAAAAGGTTTGGATCCTTATGTTGTATTCGAAACGCAAGGAATGAAAAAATATAAAAATTAGAGATAAATCTACACTTAAATTTTGAGATTTCATTATCTTCACCATCATGAGCCTTGCTCATCCCGAAGTCCTCAGCCAGATCAGCACCATTTCTACGGCTATCTGGAGGTTAACAGGCATTGAGCTCATTGTACAGCAACGTCTAGAATTCATCGACCTTTAAACATAATTTACAGTGGCTATATTAATTTTAATCCGAACAAATATTTCTTGTTCCGAACTAAACGTAAATTATTTTTTTATTCCTGTACACACAGCAGTACACGGGAAAAACATATTTCTATATTTTAAATATTATCTTTTGTATAGGCTCTGGTGCATGTAGTGATGCTTTGGCTAAAGCATTAGCTGATTTCAAGCGTACACATCAACAGTTATCAGCAAATGATAAAGCACCGTGTTGTCGGCATTCTAAAAGTTCAGATATGTATAAAACTCAGAATGGTGATACTGTTGTTGACGATGATAAAGACAATCTTTCAGATGATAGTGACAGTCCTACAGAAAATCTTCATCATGGTGTACAATTAGGACATAGTCGTCATATTCATCCCGACTCAGAGTATTTTCATACAAATGAAGAATACGATAATGATAATTTCGATGATATCTATGCCGAGGTAGTTTTATCTGTCTGTGTTAGTCTTCTGTGTATTAATTCAGTGTTGCAGGCATTAGTTTGTTTGTTCTATTTTCGTCTAGTTTAGTAATGGTTTTTCTTTTCCGTTGTAATCCATATTGTCGCCTTTGTGTTTAACTGCTGCTTTTTCGTCGTTTTATATTGTTACTAAATACTCTTTTTGCAACGTCAACCATAATTAGCCATTCAGTGTTTTCCTGGAATTAACTTAAAGTGCTATTGATATCTGCATTGTTGTTGGTGTTGTCATTTTAACAAGTAACCTATGAACCCTAATATCTATGTCTGTATCAAGTGTTTACTTTTCTTTTAGTTTTCGTAATTTATCGTTGTATTCGTGTAAATATCCTTTTTTTCACCATTTAATTTTAGTTAATATACCCGTGTCTATGTGTGTGTGTGTGTGTGTGTGTATGTGCGCGATATGTATCTCGTAGCTTGTTGTCCTTTAACTACAACTTATTTGTTTTTAAGAAAATATATATTCGTTTTGTTTTATTTTACTTCGTAGGATCAGTATACTAAGGAACAATTCAAAAATACAAAATCAATTAGTCGGGATAATAAAGTAAACTAATTTCTTCTTTTATGAGTTTCTTATTAATTTGATTTGTTTTCTTTTACTGGTAAATGTGATATCAATAGTTGTTATTCTTTAAGTGTATACTCTCTGCATATACAAGTAAATATCAAGTAGATGAATTGGACATTCACTGGGGAGACTATTGATTGACTTCACGAGCTTGGTATGCCCTTGAATTGAAGGTTGCCAGTTAGACCTGGGTCCAAGGGTTACATAAACAGATTGTGTGTGTGGAGGAGATGAAACGGTAAAAGCGATCTTAAAGCCAATTAAAACAACTACATAGAACAGGTTGTAATGGAGGTGGACTGCTGAAGCCCTTTGTTGCACTCAGAACGCAAAGGAATAATAAGGACAGTAGTAGATGATTATTGGAAATTAAGGAGAATTAGAAGGGTTTTACTTTCGTTTTTGAAAATGCTCAAAAACGGTAACCCACAGCTACCTTTTATCTTGTACACACATCATTTTACTACTCAGAAAGCACTTAGATACGGATGTTATCACATAGTTTCTAGGTTTTTTGAGTTTCCGATATACACCTACCATGCCTTGATATAACTGTTAATTTACTGCCTTTATATTCCTCTGTACCTAACGTGTTTGATCCCAGCAGTTATTACTTCCTACTAGCATTCGCCTCATCTTTTTCAGACTACCGTGTAGGCTGAAAGAGAATACAATCAATGTATCCATTATTCTGTGTATATCAGCGTGAATGAATTTCAACAAGAGATATGCGTGGTGTAACACCTCGATACCAAGAAAATATAGGTTATAAGAACCACAAAGTTCAGCGAAGAGTCTCTTTTAAGCGAATTCACTCACTTACCTGAACAATCCCATTCATGTATGACTACTTTGTGTGTGCGTGCGTGTGTGTACATTAGGATTGTCAAACAAAAATAAAATAAAAATTAGTTAGGGTTACTGTTTACGTCATCAAAATGTTTTTAAAATGTGATGAGTAATCAGAATTGTAACTGGGGTGGGTGAAGATTGGTAAGCATTGACAAGGGTTGAGTAATGTGAAACAGGATGATAATGAAGATACGAGTCCAAAAAATTATTTATGTAGTAGGTAGAAGGAGTAAATAAAAGCCTGGTTAAGAAGAAGATGTTACTAAGATATCTTTCAAAAAATTCAAAAAACAAAGAAAGAAAACGAATCATTATTAACAAAGTCATAGGACTTGAAATTGTGTACGTGTATCCTGAGTAAAACTCAATCCTCAAACTATACATATTATTACATAACTTCTTTTTAACAACTGATTATGACAACTCATCACCTTTGTTACTACCCTAATTTCATTAACACCTAATTTTCCTGACTGATTTTGTATTACGTAACTTCAATTACCAACCTTCACCTGTTTATTTAAAATAACCATAACCAATTGTATTTTTGTTTGACAAACTTAATGTACACATACATAAAAAATAACATATATTTGCGATTGTACAACTAAGAAAATGAATTCGCCGAAAAGAGACTCTTCGCTGAACTACATGTTTTGTTTTCATTAACTTAGAATTGTACCCAAGGTAGAAGGAAGGGGTGCAGAAGTTTCCTCTGCGTGAATAAATCAGGGTTTTCCAACTGAATCTTTACTGCTTCGCAAGACAAAGTATACGGAAACTTACCGTTTTCAGCGGGGGGAGGGCTTTTTGACTTTATAAATGACTGTGAATGAATTCTCCGTGCATATTGCGTGACCAGTGTTAACTATAGGTTCAGTTACAGCACTCCATATTGATACACTGTTACGTTTCCTTAGCCAAACGGGATAATGTTCTTTGACCCTTCTGGATAAAACACGCATCGAACTACCTATATATCTCGCTCCATATGAGCAAGTAAACTGGTAGATACACACAGAACTGGTCAAATGCGATGGTTTATTTTCGGAGTTGTCGGAGAACAATAGGCGGCATGAGAATACCAATCGTAATGTAGCAGTAGAGAATGTTCTTTTCAGGGTGTTAGATATTTTTCTTTTTAAGATGTCGGCAAAAAGTCGCCTTTGAAAGCCACATCCATGTATAACATCTTCGGCACAGAGACGGGTTGTTTTTTGTTGATTTTCAGCTTTACATGTTTATCTATAAAACGTGATGGATAACCATTCTTAAGTAGTGTCTTCTCAAAAGAGTGATCTCTTCTACTGATTCGGAGCTGCATATTTTGCGGATTCTACTCGCAAGAGATATTATCAGCTTCCGCTTGCGATCGACGGGTACCCAACTATAAAATTTTTTCAACTGGCCGTTCCACGTAGGCTTCCAATATATTGATCCCTTAAGGGTCCCATCAGTCTTTTTTGTTAGTCGGACATCCAGAAATTAAACTGTCTCTCTGGTTTCCGCTTCAGTCGCAAATTTGATGGCTGGGTGGCAGCTATTAAAAACTTGAAGGACATTATTCAAGTCACATTTGTTATCACAGATGATGAAAGTGTTATCGACGTGCCTCTTTTGCGCAGAGAAGTTGCCAGTTGTCAGTTTCAACGGACCATGTTCTTCTTAACTAGGCCTTTATTTACTCCTTCTACCTACTACATAAATAATTTTTTGGACTCGTATCTTCATTATCATCCTGTTTCATATTACTCAACCCTTGTCAATGCTTACCAATCTTCACCCACCCCAGTTACAATTCTGATTACTCATCACATTTTAAAAACATTTTGATGACGTAAACAGTAACCCTAACTAATTTTTATTTTATTTTTGTTTGATAATCCTAATGTACACACACGCACGCACACACAAAGTAGTCATACATGAATGGGATTGTTCAGGTAAGTGAGTGAATTCGCCTAAAAGAGACTCTTCGCTGAACTTTGTGGTTCTTATATTCATATCTAGATAGGAATTTTCCGTGAAAATATCGTTTCACAAAATATCTAATATTTTTTATCGAAGATATACGACAAAAAATTCTAAAGTTTCTCGTAATGGGTTACTACTACTACTACTTTTACTACTTTTGATAAAACGTCTTTTCTACGTCAGGCCCAATGTTATCCATAAACTGTATATATGGGATTATTCACGAGAGCATTCCTACTCATTCTCAGTAGCATACTGAAAGTCTTAGCCACTAAAGTTCCGGAGAAGTATTTCCACTCAGGTATTTGTGCGCCTCTTTGTTTAACTTGATTGTGAAACTATTTCACCCAACAAATTACTTGAAAAGGTCACTGGCAACTTTTGTGACTGCAGCACTAGGTGACCAGCGAATCGAATCTACCAGAGGACAACAGTTCCTCGGATTTCTCCTACTGACTTGAGTTCCATGAAGTAGGAAACATATGTCATGGAATTCCTACTGATTACCTCCGAATACCTAGCACCAGAATACTTTAGTTAATAATTTATTTAAAGGTATGAAATATTTCCTTGTTGAATAAAAATTATTTTGACACAATCGAAGCTGATTACTATACTTGTCTGGCAAGTATGACAAAATTAAATTAAACATTTCTACATCAAATCTTGTGTTATCTACTCGCTTTTCAGAAATCTCGATTAAGTATAATGAGTCTTATGCAACGAGCTATTACTATTCTCAGCTTATTTGCTGCAAGTCACTTAGATCAAGATCCAGACACATTATTTACTAAACTCAACGTGAATAAATATTCAACTCAGAAAAGTAAGAATTGGGTGTAATCTGTTTACTGTTTTAAAAGTGCTTTTTACTTTGTGAATATAGGGCTTAACTTGTATTTTCTCCATTCTTGTTCATATATATATATATTCTTGGGTTTTGTCGCTCTTCACTCAACAAGAGTATTGCTTACAAAGGTGAAAGGACGAACGTGAACGTCTGGTGTTTATAGTCGGACTGGTGGACACATAGGTCTACCTAGGAGAACTGGAAAACACTGATTCTAATCCAATGGGCTACAAAATCTGAAAGGATCGAGCAGCGCGTCAACTTGTTTTGGTCACTGGCAAACATTTTAGCGCAGCGCCTGACCATGTTCCACTGCTGTGTAGATCAGACTTCAAGTCAAAATCTCCGAGACAGGCCCATTAGGATACCCACCTGTTTCAGTCTGAGCGACAGTATCCTAACTGTCTCAGAGACCATGGGATTTTGTGTGTCGCAATCTTTTGGTGCCCAAATGTTTTTCAGCTAGTTATTTTTGTCTATGTGAAACCTTGATATAAAACTTGGGCACTGTGGTAGAGTGTAATTCCATTATAGATAAGATTTTATTTTGATAAATCGCACAGTGTTTACAGTTATATGAACTGATGACGTTTCGAGCACAAACTATTGCTTGTCGTTTTATCTATGAACTAACGTTATGATATTTTCTGAATTTTTTGAAGAAATGATGTGGAATATTATCAAAATGGAGATCGTTTACTCAGGATGGTCATTAAGCGGTAACAGGTGTTTGGTGACCAAAGCTGACTTAATTCTCCAGAAGTAGTTGTTGATGTGGTCACTAAATTATCAGTCTCATCATCTCAGTCCCCTTTTAAATTGACATCAGATGGTCGACAAAAATCTCACGGAATATCCTGGATTTAGGTATCTAACTTATTACAGATTCTATGTATTCGGGCTTGACCCTTAGATTGCAAAATTGATGGCTTGAATTCGAATAGAACCAGTGTCTAAATAATATAACAGGGTCTGCATTTTGGTTAGTAGTCAACATTTCCATAGATGAACGTTCACAACGACATAACAACGCATATGACAGGGTAATAGGGTGTCATTTCGCAGATTCCCCTCAGCTGCTTACCACCTAAACATTACCAAGTCATGTGCATAACAAAATATTGTATACATAATTTTATCATGTTTGCAATCAGTTTTGATAGAAACCATAAGTATCGTACTTCGGGTACGCTGCAAGAAATTCACTTATTAGTTGCTAAGAGTATTGTAAGCAGTTAAGAATAATCTAAGAAAATTCTTTATTCGCATTTTGTTCAAATGGCCAATACAGTTTTGCTGATTGTCATTTGCAGTATGCATACATTGGTGTTGACTTTGTGACTGCATCAATGGACGGAGCCAGCTCCAATCTTTGACGGGCACCGTTTCTACTCATATTGCAGTATTGACCTATAAACAAATTCTTTGAGTGAACACCTTTGCATGATAATAGCTCAAGGTATATTTTCAGTCGGATCACCTTCTAAAACTACGATCAGCTAGTTGGAACTTGAGTGCCCAGATAAATAAACTCTAACTCACAAAGTTAAGTAGAGTAGTTCATTTACTTTTGACCAACGCATTATAGTTGCGAATGTTGTTTCTCCTAATACGGTTTAGTCTGCCGTATAGTGTTACCAGCTTTTAATCTATAAGTGTGACTTATCAGATTTACCTGCAGAAAAATGTTGAGTCGAGTTTTACTCATATTTTTGATCAATTTCAAATTCATTACTTTTTTCACAGGTGTTATACAGAGGCTCCGAAGTACTAATTAATAAATTTTGAATAACAATTTAACACTTTTGAATAATCAGCAACAGTTCTATTAAATATTACCAATTAATCATTAAAATGTGCCGTTTTCATTTTTACAAAAATTTATTTTTAGCTCGTAAAGCAAATTCAGCCACTGTAGAGAAAGCTAAAGCCCAGCACTGGGGTACAATTCGAGCTCGTCTTGAAGTAGCCATAAATATTGTTCAAGAGAAGGTAGCCGCTCTTGAAGCTTGCAGACTAACTAAAACACTATCAATAAATTTATACGCCACACATCATACAATTCCGAATAGCATATGGTCAAATAGTAAAGCAACAGATAGTCATCAAAACATTCCTTTAGGGCGTGAAAGTCCAGATGGTAAACCAAGTATACCTACACGAAGTAGTAATATTGTTAGACCATATGCATCAACACGTAAAGTCTTTAGTCAAGATGAAGTTCCGGGCACTCAAATCGCCTTACCTGTTCAGAATTTACACGATGCTAGTTTACGTGCAATGCTGCATGGTGGTCGACCAGATCGAGTGTTCTCAGAGACCTTTTCATCCCATGAAGAGAAAGCTGAGTCAGTTTCATGTACTGAGGAAAATGATGACTTAATGGATGATCCTTACGAGACAGAAGTAAGTTATTTTAAATGCTTTGATGAAATAGCAGTGATGAATAGTTTGCCACTTTTTTGAACTATTCTGTGTATAATGTTTTAAACAAGTAAAAGTATATATTTAATATGTATTAGTAATGGGCTGTTGGGGTTACACATGCTTCACTGTCTAGGTTATCACTGTTATTTAGGCAAACTAGCTGGTATAAACATTCGCTGTTACACGATGTTTGGTTTGCCCAGAGTAGCATTGGATTCCACCGGAAACTTTCTTATTATTTCGGTTGGTCACTATGTAGTAACCAATCAAAACGTATCGACTGTAGTTCCACAGGAGGTCAATCATGAACACTGATGGCTCAGTGGTAACGTCTTTCTCATAATTACTAAATGACGCGGGTTCAAATCTTAGAGGGGAAATAGGTTCCTTTAATAATTGCACAAACTCCTTGCTAACAATTGCTAACAAAAGCACTAAATGCAGGCCCAGGGAATCCTAATAACTGTCTCCAATAATCAAGAATCTTTATAACTATCCCCTTTATATATCCAAATTCATTATCAGTTATACATTTTCAAAGTTCTGTTTTGTTAAATAAGATCTTTAAAACCCATTTCCACAGTGTATTTCTAGTGTCTAATTTCATACAGTCGAGTTGCGCCCACGAAAGATGAACAAGCGTAAAATGAAAATAGATCAAAGGAAGCATTTTTTAAATTTTCATAACCCAACAGCATTCCGTGCAACCTTTAAGTAAACACGTATTTGCATTTTTTTCCAATTTAGGCTCTCGCTTTGATATGCGTAACACCACATATTTAGAAATGGCTCAAGTTTTCTGTTTCATTTATGTATTCCCATGTTCTAAAGTAATCAAACTTGCCTTAAACTAAACTGAGTTTTGGAACATTTCCTTTTATTTCTTATTGGATGAGATTTTTGTGCTTGAAGAAAAGACAACTCCACTCCTCAGTCCAAAATTGTCACCCAAATACATATTTCAGTAAACTTTTGTACACCAGTTGACACAACTTGTTTGAGTGGTGAACACCCTTCGATCATGTATATGTAAAAGAGATATGTGATAGGAATTAAAGTGGTAAATTTGAAGAGCTCATTCTGTGGGACTGTTCTTTATAAATCTAAGAACAAAGGACGTTTTTTTATAATATCTGATGTAGTTGTGTCCTTCCCTTCTCTAACTGCTCTTATTTTTTACCTGTTGAAATTTTTAATATATTCATTTATAACATCTCAAAGACTAAAGCTATGGAATTAACACTTACTTAATTAAGTGGCTGAAACCAACAGTCTAAAAGATCATGGATTAGCACCATGTTTACATCTAACTAGTCATAACTCCTTTCGAAATTAATTCTATTGCAACTACACTCACTCGTAGATCAAGACAGTGGTGCTGGAAGAGCAACACATCTCCTAGTCATCCTAATTGATGGAGCTTTATCACTTCGACAATTAGTTGCCCATCCTTGCCTAACACTCTGCGCCTATTTTCAACACCACTTACCGTCTTATATCACCCAACAGGTGAGATGAAACAGAAACTTATTAATTGAGACGGCTAGTATCCTTATATCCTCCACTTCCATAGGCCACATCTCCGTAGCAAAGAAGTCTGGATATCGATATCCTAGGTTTGGGCTACTGTTATACAGATTAATGTTGGCTGGACTCCTCCTGTATGTAGGCTGCCCAATTTCGGTGACTGTGCAGCAGACATTTCATTTACCATAAATTTCTTAGGGCTTATTCCTTTGAACACTGCCAATAGTTGTTGGTTATTAATTGTCACAGACGCATTTTTTCTGCATCCTTTACTCATCACTATTCACCATATTTGCAAAGACGTTTATTTAGTTATCCTATTAGACGGATAATAATACGCATAAACGCTTGAGTTGTAGATTTAAAAGACGTGAAAAAACATCGACTGACAGTACATTAGGTATTCACAAGCTACTGTGATAAATAAAATTATAAGTGAACTAGAAATCAGGCATGGTGGTCACCATGCTGTTGAATCGTTGAGTAACCTCTTAAATATTGCTAATCCCTAAAATGTCTCTGATACTAATTTTTACGCTTTCATTTGGTTTTTGATTCATTGGCCTGGTATATCATAGTCAGGTTATTCGAAATATCTGATATATTCTAAAACTTTTTTAAGAAAAAGAGATGATTTAAGTTATATGGGACATATTGTTCGTTATAACTGACACTCGACTTATTTCCCTAACCAAATTTCAATAGGCAGAGATCGTTTATTATTAGCCCTGAAGTATTACATGAGCATTCTTTAATTACTATTGCATCTGTGGTCTTAACGGATAACTTGATTACTCATTCACTTTTTTGATTCTCTTCAAGTTTTTACATACAGAAGCTGAACGTGCTGTTGTACATGTTGTACGTCGGTTATTCTGCACTGCTTTACGTGATCTTATTGAACATGGTCTTATAAAGAAGGCGTTATCACAAGTAGATGAAAATTCACCTCTGGGTTTGGTTCATAAGTCCAGTACTTTCCTTCTTCGTCCAATTATAAACTGCTTAGACACAAAAAATTACTCAGAGGATGGATTTGAATACTTAAATTTAAACGAAACAACAAATGATGAAATCTCCACGAAGAATTCCTCAAAATCTCGGTCTAGCCCCTTTGGATTTCATGCTTGGGATGTATTAATGAGATTTTATCAAATTAAGGTGAGTTAAGTTGTGATATAACAACGTAAAAATACATAAGATCGGGTTCTTGTCCGCTTTTTATTTTTTTTTCCTGAATCCATCGTATACTACATCTGCAATGTGATCAATCTGAAAGCTGGGACTTTTTTGCTTTTTGTACATAGTAACCTAACAGAATTAACCTTTAAAAGTAATTAAAGACTAAGGAAAACAAAAGTGTTCTTTTATGAGACAACAAAAAGCCTCACTTTATCTGTCTTATATAATGTATTAGACCAACGCGTTTCAACCATTCTGACCACCCATGTTCCTGTCATACCTATTTTTATAAATTTTCGTCAGATTTCAAAAAGTTATCAGTGAAATTCTTAGGCACTGAAACCACAATACTAATGTGTGAACAAACCTTGGTTTTCGAAAGGACTTACGAAGAAGGATTCAGTATCAGAGATAATTTCTGAATAAATTACGGTTAGGTTCCCATTATAATAATGTTTATGTGTTGAATTTAACTCTACGATTCTTTTCGGCTATGCGTTTTGTGACAGATGATGCTAGGCTTTTATTTTCAGGCTTACTGGGGCTCATTTATCGTCTTTCCAATTCACCTACTGTATTTTGGTTCTTTGTAGCCCTAATTTGCAAAGACTTATTGGTCATCCCCATGGATATTTCACCAAGCATACGTGTAAGTAAAGCACTGCAACAGGCTTTAACACTATCATTTAAATATAGCGGCGGTTTGAAGGAGAACACGTTTTGTTTGTTCGGTAAAAAATTTAATATGATATCTGACAGCCTATCACAGATAACTATGGTATTACCTAACTCTTATAGAAATGGACGTATTCAATTGGCTCCTCAGTTATATTCTCAACATAAGATAATCTAGTGCCTGATTGATCAACGAGCTCAACTCGCAACCCTTAGCTCATGGGTATTATCTTTATGAGTCATGGGATGCGCAATTTTGACGAATCCCAAACTGGGACCAAACAAGTATCTTATGCTTCTTAGTGTACAATGATTCCTTAATGGATGTTTTTCAGTAACAGAATCTAAATTGGAACTAAAACAGCTATCGATAAGCCTCTTTTAAACTAATTTTCCACCTTAGATAACGTCACATGAGTCTCTCTAGAATTCTACGACAATCGTAATGATAGTGCGCTGATTAGATGTCAGTAAAGTGGACACAGTTCTTTATGGTTGCGTGAGCTAACTGCGTTCTTATGAATACTATTCGAAAAAGATGGTAAATTGAAATGGAAATTATTGAGCAATTTCCTTCTGAATTCAGATGCTGCTAATTGATATCATAATCACATTTACTGTAGGTTTTCTAAAACTGCTTTAGGAAGGACTTAAGAGAGTGTTGCTATAATTTGAGGATATCACATATGATGGGACCTTTTTGTAATATAACGTGATTCCCCTACCGATTTAGAAATACCCCCCATACCTAACAGTACTCAGTCTCCCCGTTTCGTAGAATAGAAACGGAAGATAAATACCATCTGTTAGAATAATTTGCATTATTAATCACAAAAGGCTAAAATAACTTGTCTACACTGATTTGTTATCTGCTACTACTCATTTCACGATGTTGAATAGAAGCTGAAGGTAAATAAATAGAACCCTGAATCAATCTTAAAAATGCCCAGTTTTGAATTAGGTGTGGCATGGAAATTACAGCCTTTTGACTGGGTTAATGAGGCAACTGAAATTTTTTATTTGAGGCTTTAGGCAGTGTGGGCAAATAGACTGTATTTGTTAGTGAAAAATGTAATATAACACTTTCATCCTTTCCTTACCACTACTTCTTCTTATATAGTTGTTTACACTATCTGATAAAGAAATGATGTATATTTGTAACTCAAATGAATGATATTGATGTAGTTGTATTCTTTGAGCTATTAAACCATCTAACCCGTCAGGGAATACAACTACACCAGTAATTTGTGATATTTCACCATTGTTTTAATCTCACTATCTTTCTCTTTGCTAACTTTTTCTTACATTCTTTGATATAAAGCTGGATAACGTGTACTATATCTTATGGTTTTCGTTTTTATATATCTGACATTTTCAAATAATCGTAAATCGAAGATGCATTTTTGTAGCATATATGAACAGTAACTGCTCATGATTGTGTCGGTTGTTCTGTTTCAATGTATCACTCCATAGATTTATTCATTCATCATAGTGAAGTGCTGAAATGTACTTTATATTCACTTGATAAGACACTTAAGCGATTTTTTATTTGCCAGTGTATTAGTTGAAACTTTCAACAGACTGAGTACAGGTTAATTAAGGGTCTTTTTATAGGATATCCAACTGTTTAAAATCCAGCAAAGTGAACAAATAACGAGGTCAAATCGTCTATTAACCAGAAAAATCCACCCATCCTTCTCATGGTGAGTAGAATTTGGATGTACGACATTAAAAAATTGAGAACGACGCCATTGTAATCTAAGTGTCACGATGTCTGTTTGCATTGTTTGTATCATCTCCAAATAAGTTAATCTTAATGGTAAATATGCACTAGACAAGATGACTGAAGCTTGTAATTTAGTTAATATGCTTCGAGCTACTTATTCCTTGTTGTATTTTGTGGGGATTAAGTGTAATCAAGAAAATATGGATTGTAGTCCAAATTGAAAAAAGGTGTTTCTTTTCATTAGGCTGGTTTCACTCTGAAATCGTGCAGATAACTGGAAAATGAGTTTGTGTTGCACTGTTCACCACAGTGTTATCAAGATATAAGTGTATCTCAAAAAGCATATTTGAGGGATCTTGGAATACAAGTGAATTTTTGCCAGGATTAATTGGGTGTACACACACATACAAAGAGTACCTTATCATTCTCTAGAAGTATGATAGTACTGCATTTATTTGTACGTGAGTTAGGGGATATGTGATTTATTATTTATTTGTCTTTATCAGACCATACTACTATTAGTAACTGATTACTGTTTGAAAAATTTCTTCCTAGTGTATTTTAATATTTTCATTGATTTAAGAGTCAGACAGGTAGTGAAACATACTTTCACCCTTTCATTTTAATGAATGCTACATATGATGCATTAGTTGGCGTTTAATTAGAAATATAAAAAAGTGAATGTTGGGTTCAAAGAGTAACTGAATTTGAACGTGGAGCACTTTTACACATATGCTAGAGTCATAAAAAACATTTTAAATGTGGATTAACGGTGTTATTGTCTATTCAGGTGAATCTAATCCTTATTTTATTGTTGAAATTAGGGTGAACTGAACTGATTCGGTTTTTTGAGCTGAGTTGAAACCCCATACACCACTGATAAGCTTGGTCCCAAACGAGCGAAACGGCAGTCCGGTCTTTCGATCATTTCGACCTGGTTAACGCTGTGATCGGTTTCCAACTTTTCACATAAGTCGGTAATATATGTCCGCGCTAAAGTCAGGATTTATTTTTATCTTAGTGTTTTTAATTGCAGTGCGTATATTCAGAGTGTATTCTTCTCAAACCCATATTAACCTATACGTTTTGGCTAAATCACAAATATCATTTATCATCTTACTAGTTTACTGAAGTTAGAAATTTTCCTGAATAGTTTACATCTTGATTACAATATGATCTGCTAAGTGTTATTCAGCTGGTGAGTGGTACTATCAGAATCCATAACGTGAGTCTTGTCTTGTTTTAGACATGTCATCTGGATATGCCTGCATTCTTAGTAAGTAATTTTACTACCACTCGACACCTATTTATTTATTTAAACGCATAAAAACTTGATACAATATGGCACCAAGTTGAATGCGCCACACAATAACAATAAAACAACGTAGATCAGAAGAAAAAAAGAAAGAAGAGAAAAATATATATAAGTAGAGAACGGATAAAGAAGTTCATCTGGAAGGAAAACAGTCATGCTTAACAAGCTCAAACAGTATTCGTTAACTATCATCGGGAAGGGAAGAAAGAAGGAAATTGCAACACGTGTAATTTCACGCGATAAGTTTTATTGATTGTTTGTTGCTTTATTCAATTAATTGTGTGAGGGCTGAGATACTGCCCGACACCTATCATCCATTGTTTCAAATGCGAGACAGTATCCATCGAGCTATAGGAACCCTTCCTGTTAAATGCATCATAGACATTTGTTGAAATTATTATTTCGTACTCCCTGTCTATTGATTCTCCTAGAACGAAATAAGTTAAGTCTCTGTTGACCCCATGTTAATCGCCTTTTAACCTCAAGGCACATGTCAAAGGCCTCCGTAGTAGCGTCCACAGAGACTGAACATTTCAGTCCAATAAAAACTATTCAGTGGCGAATTGAAGTAAATGTTCCACTAAATATGTCACACAATGAAATTTGTCACCTTTTTGTCTATTTATTTAGAACAGTAAATAAAAAAGTGTTTTAGCTTGATTCGCTATGTACACAATTAAAATGCAAATGAATAAAAGGAGATTTTTTATTTCCTTTGGATTACAAATTCAGAATGGTCCAAGGTATAATGATTCCCCGGCAAGAAAGTTGTGCGAAAGTTTTGATTTACACGCTGTTGGTAATAAGAAAATCACAGATCGTCAGGTAAGTTGCTGAATAAATTATTCAACTACTTTTCTCTCTAGCATACTGAATGTAATAAAATGACAAAATAAAGCATAAGTGAATTCACAATGTACAACATAGATGATAATTTTTTAAAATACCCTTTATAGGTATCATATTTTTACATCAGGAGTCGGTATTTCAATGGTGAAATGCCCGTCAACCAAGTACATGGTCCCGGTTTAGTTTCCGGCCGATATACTCCTATACCTCACTTAGCCGCTAATAAGCCTAATAAAGAGGTAAGGTTGGACATGAGCTACGTCAGCTAACAAAACCGAACACCGTTGTTAATGAGAAGCTCAAGCTTGAAGTCATGTGTTCCACTCGCATAGTAATGGAATTGTGGTGCTATGATATAGACAATGGGTTCCAACGGGATATTGTTTTGACATTCAATAGTACAGTAAAAACAGAATACTATGTACATTTGAACATTCTATTTCATGTAGTTTAATGTATCCCAAAATCACACGCTCAGTGATTGGTTAAAGAATATAGACATCAGTAGCGGTATAATCACTTGAAAATATATTCGTGTCCTTCCATCTGCTGTTACAGAATGAACAAAATATTGTTACATCAGCTTTTCTACGTACGAGTTTTTCGTCCAGTACTAGGTGATGCATTTTTGTGTGTGTAGGCTCAAAAGTCATGCGGTGAAGGTTGCTTTTATGTCCGCTTTGATATATATATATATATATATATATATATATATATATGCGTTGCTCAACTACTCGCTATTCTGTGTTTGACCGGCAGAATTCAAAATTAATACTGAAAACACTAATGGAGATTTCTTGGTCATATATTGGTATATTCTCTTAAACGGATAGTTTAATTGTTCAAAGGCTTTTATTGTCCTTCTCGAAAGCATGTTCAGGGCTAGCTTAAATATGAATTCAAGTTTTTGAATTCTCCTCGTATGAAATATGTGTCTCTTCTGACAATCAAAAGACAGTAACAGGCATTCCTTTTTACCAGATTACCCCGACAACCATAGATATTATTTCAATTGGGATGGCGTAGAAATTTGAGAATTCCTAGATGTTTGGTTTTCATATCTATTCGCTATTGATATACATTTGGGTTGTGGGTTAACTTGTCGATCGGTAAATAAAATGTGTTACATGACGTAAAGGTCAAATGGCAAGTTAACAGGAGGATCGATATCAACATATGTGGGTACAATGAAAAGAAGATAGATAGGAATAACCAATCACGGTAAACGTCACCAGCAGCAAGATATTCCATTCATGGAGAATCCTAGAGGTCAGCTCACAATCAAGTTAGTGCTCAACAGATGTTGTCCAGATGGACAATGGTGAAAGCTTCTTAACAGTTAAACCGTCCAGGTTAGAGGACACAACAACACCAAAATTGAGAAGTCTGGTTTAATTCGTAAGAGTAAATAAGGAGTACTTGAATACGCTTACTTTGATTGAGTTACAGTTGATTCTTTTGATGTTAAATTGCATAGACAGTAAGATTTTTATAAGTTTGTCTTATTATTATTATATTATACCTATCGGGTTCCGAGTGGAAGATACGGCGTCGGCAGCACATCTCAATTTCACTCTATTCTCTACAGTAAGATTTAGATATGATAGAGAAGATTTGTAGCTCAGGTGGATAATTTTGATGTGGTTTTGTTCTCTGAGCTGGATAGTTAGTTTGCGAAGCTTTCATCACCTTACTGGGTGACATCTTCAGCGCATACTTCAAATTGAAGTTCAATTTGAAGTATGCGCTGAAGATGTCACCCAGTAAGGTGATGAAAGCTTCGCAAACTAACTATCCAGCTCAGAGAACAAAACCACATCAAAATTCTCTACAGTGTTACCTAGCTGGTTTCAGGACTGCCCATAAGCTTGGATTTCCTCACTACACGAACCAACATCATTTAGAGATAACTGAAAACTAGGGGGCACTGTGCGGCTGTTTTATCCTACCTTCAAACAATTAATCAGTGCTCATCCAAGATTCTACCCAGACTCTTGCCTAGGACCTTCAGGCCAATTTCGTTAACCATTCAGCCACCTGCGCTAAAATTCACTGACTTAGCGCTATCTCAGGAATTGACAGAAGTTAGACTAACCAGGTCATTGAATTCCAACTCAAGTGGCTGACTGGTCAAAGAGTTTGGTCTCACTACCTGAAGGTCCCCTGTTCGATCACTGGTGGGGACGTAGGTGTCCTAAACTAGGATGAGATAGCTGTCCAATCGTCTCTAACTCGTGTTGGTTTGTGAGGAAGTTTGCAGTGAAATTCAATAAATTGCTGAAAATAAATATGTTGTATTATAATTGCCTGTTTAACCCAAGTTTCTCCTATTGATCAGTGACTGGTATGTAACATTTAACTAATATGAAAAATGATGAAAATATCAGAACAGGTGTTTTGTATGCATACAAATATGTATGTGTACAGACGCCATATGGATTCATTATGATACTGATAATAACGTAATCAGTGTTGTATTCAGCATTATGATACTGATGACTCATTATTCATTTTCATCAATTCATGTGGTGCACATCAATATCCATGTAATATATATATATATATATATATATATATGCGAATAATTAATGTAAATTTTGTAGACAAGGTGTATTCTAAACAGAACAGACAGAAATTAGAAATAAGGACTGTGCAAAATGGACAATAACAAGGAGGCAACTGGATTCATATACAGAGACTACGAATTCATCTTAATTAATCTCCAAATTATTTACGAGCATTCAGTAAAGATATATTTCAATCAGTGTGTACACCAGTCAGCTTTAATATTTCAATTAAAATAGTAGTGTAATGCTCAAAACAACAGCGGTCCTGAACAAACAACAAAACTATGCTTGAAATGCCATCCAGTAAACACTGCTTTGTCATCAAGAGTTATGTATACCGAACCGTCGTCTTCCTTATTGAGTAGTATCCACTGAAACTGGATTAAGTCGCAAACGAGTTACTGGTGATCATATCAAAGTATGCCATTGATTAGTGAAATCTTTGGCTGTTGGTTTAAGTCGACCACCCAAGGAGTTGTAGACTGCCTGGCTGCAATACTCGAGATAACTGGATAGTGTCAGTGACGCAGATGACTTAACTCATTGTGATCTTCGCATTTCTTTCTTGTCTACCTTTATATATGCTTTGATAAAGTGAGGTAACTTGAACTGTTGAACTTTTATGTAAAATTCCATGTTGGAAATTCAGTTGAGTTTCGGAAGAATGGTGAAATTGACAACAATTATGAAGAAACAATAACCTGGGCTGACCTATGCATTCTTAATAACCTGGACTTCAAAGGCTGTCCAGTAAACACAACATTAGTCGCATAGTCTTCATAACAAGCAGATAAGTATAATTACGCATAACTTAATATCATAACACCTCAGCCTTACAACTTTAATTTATTCGTATTCATTATTAGTAACGATTATCACTGACGCTTGTTTCGTTTATTCTGACTCGTATTTATGGGTTATTTGTGTAGCATTTTGGGAACTGGGAATAAATGGTATAATGAAAAATCTTTTTTTTCCGTTTGCATTATTTTAGCGGTTTTTCAGTGCAATGGGTACTGTGCTACAAAGTCATATGGCTTACAAACGCAGTAAAGATGCTAAGTTCAAGGCATTTATTAGTATAGCGCTCAAGTAAGCATCATATATTTTAACATTCTGTATTTAAAATGGATTTGAGAAAGCATGTAAGTCATACGGTTTATGCTCAAACTACTATAAAACTAAGTTGTTAGTCGTGTGGGAATTCTACGTAATTGTCAGGTAGATTCCGCCATCAGTCTGAAAAGCCAGTGAAAATAAGAGAAGCTTACTAGACAACTTTATTCTAATTTTGGGCTCTCTAGCAGTCCATAACCACTTTATACTACGAGGACTAGAGCCTAGCATTGTCAAGCTACAAAGTAAGCAGGTTTTTTACTATTCCACTACTGAACTGAACTTCATTCAACATTATCGGATAGTTCTAGTTTCTATACTTTATTACATCGTCCGTATATGATCTCGAAGAATCCTAAACTAAAACCAGAGATCCCCACATTTATTCATTACATGCTTGTTGGCACTATTCGAAAAAAGTCTGATCTAATAGTTGCGTCAAAAGCGAATGATTGTGTGTATGTGTGTTTTCTCTTGACTGACCATAAAGTTTGGACAGACTTACAACAATTCCATCTCTTTATGATGAAATTATTCACTGGACCAATTTAAGCGTCATTAAGAAAATATTATCCGCTTTCTAGTCGTCATGTCACAGATTCTCGTTGATAATGAAAGCCCTAGAAAAGGAAAATAAAGTATCCAAGTAATGTCTAATGAAGTAGAGAATAGAAGAGAATTCACTGCGTTTTAAAATACAACTAACACCAAGGTTCATGTTATTCGACAGAATCTATAGTGTATTGCAAAACACTTTTAGTATTGAAATTCGATTGATTTCAAGTCAAATTGCGAACTGACTTCATTTGGAAGAACGCAAGAAACTACGGAGTAGTGAACATATGTTTCATTCTAATTTGGGACTCTTCAGCAACAATCAAAACCAGATTCTGTAGATCACGAGGCGAACCCGTTTGTCATTTACCCACTGGGACGAAATCCAATAACCCACTAATTCCAACTTCCGCTAGTGACCGACATACTACGCATCAGCCAGTCAGCGCTATCGGTGAGTATATCTCCTCATGGGAGATTTGATGGTCTACATTGGTCACGACTTCTCACTCGAAATCCAGACAACTTCATCTTCAAGTTAGCCACTAGTGAACATTAGATTACTTTTTAAGTGTCTCTTGTCAGGGATTCGATTGACTTTTAGTTCGATTAGGAATTTACAACATTAGTTAGAAAACCACTGAAAATTGAAATTGTAATAGAAACAATTAAGTGGCTTTTGTTCACAGTAGTTTATTAAGATGAAGTTGCTTAATGGAGAAGATGTAATTTATCAATCTTAATTGCAGTCGCGCCGAGATACGATGAAATCGAATGATTCACTGCAGCTGTGAAATTCTGTAGTCATCATGACTTCATAATGATTTTCTTTGTTTCTAGTGTCTAGAATTATTCTACTTGATAACGACTAGACTTTAAGTTATACTAGGATCTGCTAGGATATTCAGTGAATGAATGTCAACAAATTATGCCTTCTGCAAAGAAAAAGAAAATCTGCCAGTTGCTATCCTTCCCAACTATTGTCTACTCTAGGCTAAGCTGTATTATAGGCCTAGCCTTTATATTTGCCTACAAGTGTTAAATTCCTCACAGTTGATACCAGTCACATACAGTGTGAGCTCAGTTGTAGCTAAAAGACAAAGGTAAGTGGTATTAAAACTTAATTTGTTTCTGAAGTGACAAAATATTATATTAATACAACAGTATTAAGTTCTGCAACAAAATGTTTAACCTGAGTCATGTTTTTACTTATATGTAAAGAAGGAATAGACTGACAAACACATCTAGTAGTCAGCCCTAGACTTTGGGCGTTTACAGAAGAGTAATTGGCAAGTTAAAGTATAAATGTTAGTCATATCTAATAAGGATGAAGCTGACATTTGATTGGTGGACTGTTATATCAGTTATGCGCCGTAATTAAGCATATTTCTCCACTAGTTTATTCAAGAAAGCATCAATAAAGTACCTATTGTATTCTCTCATGATATCTTAATTTCCAGCGAGCATCAATTAGTTTCTTGGCTGAGAATGATCTTCCGAAATCAAGCATTCGTTCAGTCTATCTATGAACCGTGGAGTTATGCATTCAATACAGGTAAGTAAACTTTTCAGTGTACCAAAATTCTTTTTCATGTTAACATTTAATTCTGACTTCAGTGAACCTTGTGGTCTGCTTCAGATACTCACTGAGTAACTTCAATATACTCAAAAGATCTCAGTGCAGTAAATCTGTTCATTTAGCGGTATGGAAGACTAGGCAATCTGATTATCACACCTGTTTTCTCATTATTCCTTCCTTTTACTGTTATTCTCATATAAGCTGTGCTGTGGCTCACATCATTTCCTGTTTTTCTTGTGATATTAAATACTTTTGAGCTAATTTAAAAACTTGTAGTTTTTGGTAGACTGTCTGTATTAATTTTTGTATTCTAATAACTATGCTGATCTGATCTGTGTATTTAAATTATTGTGATGAAGGCTTTTCTTTAGCAAAGGACTTTTTGTCCACACAAGTAGTGACTTCCAGAGTATTTAACTGGCAATAGCACTTATGTATGGTAGTGCCTTCGAAATAAAACGACGAAATTTATCCGAATGACAATGATCTTGTTCAGTAGCAATAGGCCAGTTTCTTGAGTTTTTCCGATTGATACTGACAGAGATTCTTTATTAATTGGGAAAAGTTGCGTGAGAATATATTTCTTCTTCTTCTTATTATTATTGCTCCCTTGGGTTCCTAGTGGAACATAGGGCTTCAACTGCACGTCTCCATTTTCTTCTGTCTTCTGCTATACTTTTCGCCTGCATCCATGTTAATCCATATTCTTTCAACTCCTCTTCACACGATCTCCTCCATGTCACCCTTGGACGTCCCACACGCCGCTTCCCTTTCGGGTTCCACTCGAGGGCTTGGCGCGCGATGTCACCCAGCGGTCTCCTCAGCGAGTGTCCGATCCATCTCCACTTTCTCCTGCATATTTGTTGGGCGATTGGTTCTTGCTTTGTTTGTTCCCATAATTCCTTGTTGGTGATTCTTTCCGGCCATCTGATCTTCAGTATTGAGCGAAGACAGTTGTTAATAAAGGTCTGCAGCCTTTTGGAAATATTCTTTGTGACCCGCCAAGTTTCTGATCCGTATAGAAGAACTGACTTTACGTTTGTATTGAAAATCCGAATTTTGTTGGTGATGCTGAGTGACGAAGATTTCCAGATTGATTTCAGGCTGATGAATGTGTTTCTCGCCTTCCCGATTCTCGATTTGACATCCTCGTCCGCTCCTCCTGTAGTTGAGACAATGCTCCCTAGATAAGTGAATGAAGTAACCTCTTTCAAATCCCTCCCGTTGATGGTGATTGACGTTGGATGTTGTTGCTGTTGTTGTTGGTTGGTTATTTTCATAACCTCCGTCTTGTCTATGTTTACCTGGAGTCCTGTCTTTGCTGCTTCTTCGACCAGTTTGTCGGTTTTCGCTTGTAAGTCTTCGATTGTGTGTGACATCAAACATAAGTCATCCGCGAAATCCAGGTCTTCTAGGTTCTTCACGTCGGTCCAGGATATTCCTGTCTTCTCGTTTCCCACAGTCTGACGCATAATCCAGTCCACCACAATTAGGAATATCATTGGTGATAGTAAGCACCCTTGTCTGACTCCTGTGTTTACTCCAAACGCCTCGCTGAGTCTTCCGTTGTGGATCACTTGGCAGGTGCCGTTGTCGTACAGCTGTTGAATAAGGTTGATGAATATTTGGGGTACGCCATAGTACTCGAGTAATTTCCAAATTACTTCACGATCAACGCTGTCGAAGGCCTTCTCAAAGTCTATAAAGTTGAGGTAGAGGTTTGATTGCCATTCCATGCTTTGTTCTGTGATGATGATGCGTAGAGTTGCAATTTGGTCAGTACATGATTTGCCTTTCCTGAATCCAGCTTGTTCTGGTCGGAGTTCTGTCTCCAGTGCGTCCTTTAATCTCTCCAGGATGATGCGACTCAGGATTTTACTTGGCGTCGATAGGAGCATGATTCCTCGCCAGTTCTTGCAGAGTGAGGCCTAAGTCGCCCTTCTTTGGTAGTTTCACGAGGTAACCTTTCCTCCAGTCAGTAGGCACCTTTCCCTCCTTCCAGACCTTTTGCAATAATGGAGTCAGCATGTCTGCTGTCGTCTCTGGGTCTGCTTTCAGTGCTTCAGGGGGTATTCCATCTGGTCCGGCTGTTTTTCCAGCTTTCAGAAGTTTGATTGCGTTCAAGACTTCAGCTCTCGTTGGAGGATTGGTGTCAACTTGCAGTTGTGTGCGCGCTGTTGTTGGTATTTCTGGACGGGTTGCAGGTGATGGTCGGTTCAAGAGTCCTTTGAAGTGATCCGCCCATTGTTTAATCTGTTTTTCTTCCTTGGTAATGGGCTTCCCTTGGCTGTCTTTTATAGGTTTCGCTTGTGTTGGTCTCTTCCCGGATAGAGATTTGGTTATCTGATATAGTGTCCTCAGGTCCCTTTTGCCTGCTGCCTTTTCAGCTTCAGTAGCTAGATTGTCGTAGAATCGTCTTTTGTCCTTCCTAGCACTTTTCTTCACTTCTTTGTCCAATGCTTTGTAAGTTGAGCTCATCGTCTCCTTCTCCTGTCCGTCCTTGCATTGAATCATTTTCTCTTTCACCATTCTCCTCTCTTCTATTAATTTCCAAGTGTCCGTTGAGAGCCATTCCTTGTCTTGTCTCTTCTTTCTTCCTAGAACCGTTGAACACGTTTCGTTGAGAATCGCCTTCAGAGACTTCCAATGTTCTTCCACGCATGATTCTTCAGTGATGTCGCGTAGTGTTTCCTGCTTTGCTCTGACAGTTGCAGTGAAAGTGTCTTTTGTGGTTGTGTCCTTCAGTTATTGAGTGTTGAACTTGCATTGTGGCCTATCCCCAGCTATCCTCGAGGCTTTTAGTTTCACCTTGAAAGTCCCTTCTACTAGATAGTGGTCTGAACCCACATCTGCGTGAGAATATATTTCTTAGTTAAATCGAATTTAGCAATAGCTTTTGGTGTGGGACTGTGTTAATTGGACTGCGTGGCTTAACTGCGGTGCCAGAACACTATAGCCGGAAACCACAATGAAAATTCGTCCTACTATGTATGAAGAAAAATTTCTGAAATAACTGTTAGAACATTGAAACTATTCGGAATAGATAGTGCACACAGACCAGCATGGCCACTGTATTTAATACTATGCAGACGAAGAAACCCAACAGCACAAGAAGATAAGACCAACACCATCTACAATATAAATGGCATCAGTTGTGGATGTTCCTTTCAACTTTGAATTCAAGAACATGAATTTACTGTCAAAAAATTATGACACATATCCATGTAAACAACTACAGGCACCAATTTGACTGAAAAACATGAGAATTTATAGAAGCGTAGTACTCATATCAATCTTCATTTAACAGGCATGTTGACATAGATCAGACTCTATTAGTCAATAGAGGACAATTTACGTAGTAAGAAGTTCAAATATCAGGTCAACAAAACTATCGATGTCAGTACAGATTAATACAAGAATGAGAAAACTTCTTGTGACAATCAGTCACAGTCAATGTCAAAAGGGAAGGCAGTTGAGCCATACCTACTAAAAGCTCACTCCACACTAGATTAAGCTGTGTAAATGTTGCCTAGGTGAATAATGAAAGTTTTGAAGATACACCAACCAGATCAGAGAATCTCCACCACATTAAAAACATCCACTTGAGCTGCATTTCTTCATTAATAATAACATTTTTTCCAGCGAATACTTCTTTAGAAGCGTTTAGGTTATATATTTGCATAAATGTCTCCCGGTAATAGTGTTTTTTACAATATGAACAAAGCATTTTGGTGTCAGCCTTTCGCAGTTTAAACTTTGAATAACTCCTTCTTCTGCACCTTATGGGTTGCATGAAGTTGTGGAAAATATGCTGTAAAATAAGTAATTCGGTTTATCTAACCTAAACAGATCTAACACATCTGCACACACAGATTAACGCACACCCAAATACCATATATATATATATATATATATATAGATGCACTTCGCAAATGCATCTACCAAAACAGATGCTCTGTTTAATATCTACGATAAACTAAGGTTAAATATGTTTGGTCTTCATGTGTGTAACTGAGTTAAATACACATTAACATATCCAGTCAAGTGAAACTTTCTATCCACAATACAAATACCTTACTTTTTATAGAGTAACGGAAACGGGATGAAGATAAAATATTAGCGGCTTTTATGATTTTAACGTGGAACGTTTTGCAAGTGCTGCTGCGCATGAATTTGGCTGATATCAGGTTAAATCATAATTTAACGTTAGTTAGAGAAGCACTGAAAACCATGGTGTACTAAATAGTTGTTTCGTCCTAGTTTGACACTCTGCAGCAATACGCATCCATGTCTCAACCGGGGATCGTAACCAGGACCTCCAGGTTACCAAGATAGTTCACTGGCAATTCAACCATTGGGACAAGATGTAGTAGCACATGAATTGTAAGCTCTGGTAATTCGCTAAGTATATTGTGAAGGTCACCAAATATCATCGGCAAGTACCTACCGTCACAGTAGATTTGGTAAACTCCACTGACGACCACTTCTCCCTATAACTGCAAGGGCTCCATCCTGTTGTAGTAGAACACTAATGACCAGTAGAAGAATTGACTGATATCAAATGAGATTTCATAACAAAATAGCTGTCCAGTACCCTCTGATTTTCGAAGGTTCCCTAACTGGTGTTATTTCGTGATTCCATTTAGAATGCTTTTCATTGTATAATCATAACAATTAGCAGAACACTTTAAAAATGGTCTGTGACTAGATGGCTTTGACTATCAGTGAAGAACAAGGCATTCTTCTTGATTCATTCAGCTAAGTTTCATTAGTAGAAGTTAATTATTTTCCGCAAAACACCTCATTCAGACTACTATCCTTTAGTTGTTAACTAGTCAACAGATCTTCGATACACAATTTCATTAATGACTCTTTGAAGCAGTAGTTAAATAATCATTGAGTGTGTTAGCTAATATGCAGATGAAAATGAAAACAGCATGTTAAAACGATCACAGATAATCAATAGCTCACTTTGT